CCAGTGGTGTGGGCGCTAAAAACGAATGCTATAAGACGTCTTGCTGCATTTCCAACTACTGGAATAATTCCGCCCTCAGAAACAGTTCAAGTTAACCGCACTTTTTCTTGATTTTTAAACTTTAGATTTTTCAAAATTCTTCAATATTGCTAATTAGCATTTTATCCAAGTAGTGATAGATGAAATACTGAAATTACATGAAGTTTTATCAATGAAATATTTTTAGATAAAAATTGATTTGGTGGGGCAAATACCTAAAAAAAATTTGAAAGATCGGCTCTCGCTGGAATATTTTTTTGCTGATCGAAAATTTCTAAATGATGGTAATTATTATAATTTCTTTCATCGCAGTGAATCGACTCGAATGAGAAAATGTTTAGAAGTCGTTTACGTTCAGCAGTGATTGCATATCAATCTATATATTATTATTGTAATGTAGTCATCTTGCCTAAATTGAACATTACGAGTCTTACTAATTTTTACTAAGATTTTAACGAGTAAATGAAATAATTAAAATTGACAGATTCCAAAAAACCGAATCAGAAACCAAGTGAAAACTGAAGTGCCCTAATAATTAGTGACTTAGAATTTTCTATAGCATATCACCCTTACTATTATATACAAATACCTGCTCCTGATGTCACTTGAATTTAAACCAATTTTTCGGAATTAGAGAAGAGTATCCATGACCTTTTCCCAGTTTTATTACTTACTGGGTTGTTAAAACACTAATATTTTTTGTCATTGTTCACTGAAGTGTTTGACAAACGGACAACTTGATTGAAAAATGTAGTTATAAACATTCTTTAATTGGCAGAACTAAACTAATTCATAACTGATTAACTAATAAAGTCAACCAGATTTAGTTACCTCTTTGCTCTACAAGAAACAGTTTGCTCTCTGGATTGCATTAAAAAAAATTAATTAAATCATCATTGGACGATTTCCATACCTATTGTTAAGTAGCGACCATGTATTGTTCACTTGTGACTCATCTTTTTAGGCTTATAATGCAGTATTTATTACTCCTACTATCCGAACTCCCATTCAGCATTCCGAAATTCTAGACAGTTGAATGATGCAATCGTTTGACCCTTTCCACTAACTTCTTTAAAATTGCCTCCAAAATTTAAATCACCTTATTGTTCCGTTTATTATCATTACCACCATTGACCCCATAAACCTGAATCATCATCAAACAACCCTACCACTTATTCTGTATACAGTTCATCCAACTTACCGCCCTCCACTCTGAATCACCTAGCCTTTTGCCTTTCTGTGTGTAATCCAGGATCATCTACCAAATCCTGTCCTCTATTTTTATTGGAATAACTTCTCGATTTGCCATTTACTCAGCGTCAGCACTCATTTGCTTTGAAGATTTGTTCCCGCAATTTTATCAGAAATGTTTTCTAGTGACATCACCTCATCAAATCGTTCATATTTGTTTGAAACAAATATGCCAACTGCTACTTCCTCAGTTTTTACTGATCCCTATCACTTTCCGCCTTGGTTCCCGTAGATTTCCCATCACTTGACAGTTTTACCTAATTTATTTTATTCTCCTGCTTGACGATATAACATTCTTAGAACTGAATTTGTTCCGAGTTTTAAAGAAAATTAATTGATAATCGACTTTAGTTCTCACAAATTGCCAACGTTTTTTTATTCTCATGGATTTACAAAGTCTTCGTAAATTATAGTATGTGTCAACTTTAGATGTAGGACCTTTGACCATTTGCGAGTTGCAATGCTGGTTTGTAAATTATAATTTGAATCTAGAGCTTGCGCCACCAATAATGTCTATGCACACAGAAAATAACAGGAGACGGCAAAAAATGAAAAAATAAGAACAACAAATTTCGGTTAGTTCTTTCGCCGATAACTGAATACCAAACAGACACTTTACCAGAATAAACAGCAAATAAGAAAAAAGCATGAATATAACACGTAAAAAACCTTATTTACTCTAAAAAAAGACCGAAACCAAAACTTGCAGAAATGGACATGTATTGCTGAACAAAAGAAAAAATAAAAAATAAAAAGAATCAAGGTAGAATATTAAAATGAAGCATTTTTGATAGCATCAGAAGGTAAATCGATTCGTAGCACAAGTACTTTCATCGCTTCATCGTTTGTTAGCATAACATTATGATGCTGTAACTGATGGAAGCACTCTTCTGCCTCCCCAACACTGTCTACATTTATTATGGACACTATCTAAAATGCATGAATAGTTAACGCTCCGTCAATGCTACTTTAATCCAAGCAAAACCTTAAAATCATTAACAAATCACATAAATCTGAATGGTGTAAAGGACGTTTTTTTTCTGAACAGTTTTTTTTCTAAGCATTTGTTGAAAGAAAGAGCGCACATATGTAACTCTTCAATGTCTGCCCAATCTGATACGAAAACTGAGTTATATTAATACGGACTTCAAGAAAAATGTGGCGATTTTGCTAAGCGAGACTGATAAACAAAGTACCTGCGACAATCTCGCACATTTCTCACGCACAACCCAACCAGCAATGTTCGTCAGATATGAGCTTAAAGAACGAAAATCTTTGTCAAGTTGCAGGCCGCCAAGTCGATTATAAACACTTTTCATTATCACACGCTCGAACTGCATAGAAACTTCAGCACAAACTGCTACCAGTAATTCCTTCAATTAATCTGAACGATTTAACGTATTTTTTTTCCATCTAAGCTTTTGTTAGAAAGAAGCATTCTTTCCGATGAACAAATTTCAGGACAGCATTTTAATCAACTGCAAGCTCTCACAATAACTTGAGAAAGTAAGTCATAGCTCCATTTGTGCAACAGTTACTTTACCTGATAATTAACAGGAACAAGCAGCGGCTCAAAAGCTGCTAACTGGCGATCAAGTGCTGCGATGAAATTACTCATGAATGGATCTTCCGCTTCAAAATCAGCGAATTCACTGTCAGAGGGCGTGTGAGTAACACTCAAGTAGAGCTCCATGCTAAAGAAATTTGTTTATCTTACTCTTCTTGAATAATTTTCAGAAGGGAAGGAAAAAAGTCTTAACTTCTAATTACTAGTGAGATGTTAAAAATTAAGTTACTTAACTCAAAAAAGTGCAGTATCTATCTGTCTAGTGCGAAAATACAAGATGAAGAAAAAGGTACACGGGTTTCAGTTTAGGTCGAAATACAGCTGCGCATAATTTATCAACGCCAACATTTGCAGAACTATCGAATTTCCGTACTAAATCGTCCAGCTGGCTGAGTGCATTTTCCAACTTGCCTTTCTCAACTTCACTTACCTAAAAAAAATGGTCAAGAAAAAAATCAACAATCGAACCTCCGGCTTCACTGAGTCATCCAGCACTCGCTAAATTTTTACACAACTGCTCAACCTATCCCTTCATAAAACTGCTACACACATTTAATATACCATCAGAGTTGAAATCCCTTTACTTACTCTTTCCCTTTTTTGCTAAAAATTTGAGAGCCTACATCCAGAAAAGGCCGGAACGCCATACCTCAGTTAGGTGCTTTTCAAAATCTTCCTGTAATCCTTTTTTCAATGTTTTCGTACATTCAGCAGATGCACGAACGTTGTTTAATGCAGTCAAGAAAATCTGAAATAATATAATGCGACAACGTATTATTGACAAGATGTATTTTTCAGATTTTGATGTCATCATGTGATGTGCAAAAATCATCATGTGCAATCCTCATCATGTGCAAAAAATTTCTTTTATGCCCAAACGTGTCAAATTCAACCCGATAGTAAGGTACCACTCCGATCTGACTCAAGCAATCTCTTGGGCAACATACGTAGTTACACTGTCTTTTAAATATAAGGCAGTGTAAGGTAACCTTGGAGAAATATATTTCATTTACACGCGAAGAGATATTACATGCTGAAAACGATCCGGCATTGTACCAGAAGTTCATGAATGCTCACTTCTTTCAGCTTCTCGGGTCCAGAATCCGTAACCATTTTTCCATGTTGTATAACATTATATGCTGTTTGTGCCGTTTGGTATGCTTCGGCAGTCCAACCTGCGCCCGGATAACCACTCTGAACAACACGCATGATTAAGATCATTTTTTAAAAATCACAGAATGACTTTAAAGTTTGGAGCCGGAACATAATAAGAACAAAATTGTACTGATTTTCAAGAACACTTGCCTTGACACCCTGAAATATATATTTCAGAAAATTTGCATCTAATACAGTCACACCATTATTTAACACAGCACATGTGCAATCCACTGACGATGAACTGAGAGAGCGTCTTACGCACTTGCGGATGATGAAAAACACATCATCAAGCATAGAACTGAAATTGTTTTCTAGTTAAATCCCAATTCTTAAAATTTTCATGGTGGTTAGAAAAATGAAGGTAGGCTGGAAGCCACATTCAAACATAACGTAATAACAAATCATCGGTTAATACACCGAGCGTTAATTATGAAACTGACATAAATTTTGGTAAATGATTAGTCAGCACCTTGTTAAGCTGTCGACTTCTTTGAAATCCAAAGTCATTGCCTTTGCGACTGATTCCGTCATGTAAAACTGCTCCATGAGAACATACTGACCCAACAGTTCCTAGGTTTTGAAGGGTTTTGAAAGAGTTCAAATGTTATTATAAAAATGAAATGATATTTGTACAGAAGAAATATGACTGAATCAAATAGTGCTACAAATACCTGCATCCTTGTACCAAGAACCGACCGCAGAACCAAATCATCCAATTTGTTACTTCTTTCACACTCTTGTTTTGCTCTAGTTTCTTCCGAAAGCCGTTTATTTGCATCATTTATTTGATCCTCATCCACTCCCTTCTGCTAAAAAAATTTCACTTAAGTACTTCAAAAAGAAAACTTCATTGAAATGAACTTTGTTTCTTTATGCCGTATATGCCAGTATTTAATTATTTTTACATGATTTTCCTCCCGTAAGTTCAGCGACATTTTCGGAATTGTTTTAATAAGGAACAAACATTTCTCTAAACTTTGGAACGAAAACATTACAAAAATGACAACAAAAAGGAAATGACAACAAAAAGTGAGTTTATAATTTTAATCAGCGCACCTGCTCATCAGTCTTCATATTTCCCATATTTAACCGTCTCCTAAGGTATCGCCAGTAAAGGTGGGTCCTCGTGTGCATCAGTGTTACTTCGGACAACAGCACGTCTAGTTCTAAGGCATCGATTTTATCTAAAGAATAAAAATGTCGAAGCCTGAGAAGAATGGAAAGGAAGCAACGAGCATAGCAACTTATAGCCTTTTTTATGGATATTGTGAAAAACCGATCCATATTTTGTTTTTATAACTTATATCAAACAATATCATACAAATTAGTAACTAAGTCATAACACAAGTTGTTCCCAAACAATATTCATTCAACTCTATTATTCTTAATGTGGTTGAAATCCCGAAAATGAAAACTTGAAGGTTTCGACATCGACAAATATAACATACTAACCTAATGCGTTTTTGTCCGAGTTTCTTGTTATTTTCTCAATCATTTTCGTTTTGCTATCAAACTGTCTGTTCCTAATGAATGCATCGATGATCCGTTCGGCTTCTTTGTCGCATTCTTTCTAGAAAAGGTTAACTTTTTATATTTATTCAGAAGAAGTCCTTCATTATTCTCCATATTTGTTAGCATTATTCTTTTTTTTGATTCAAGAGATTTTTTAAAAAATGTAGGAAATAAAATTCAAAAGAAGAACAGTAACCATTTAACCTGTAGTATTTCAATCAACGATAGCAACTTATCCGGACCATATGAAGAACCAATCAGTGGCTCATACACTTGTATCTCACGAGCTATTCCTGAATTCAACTGATCATTATAAACTATTTGGTCGTGAACAATCTAAATAAATCTAACTTTGAATTCACCTTCAAATAGCATTGTCAGTGCATCTGCATAAAGCACACTTATTCTCTTGTCATCAGTACCACCGGCCAGCATTACCTTCAAAAAAGATCCATAAATTAGAAAGACGGATGGACAACAACTGAAAATTATAAGCTCACTTTATAATTCCGCTCTGCAAATTGATGGATTTCAGTACAAAGATAACTGCCAATCCGCTCGATACCTTTCCTATGCTCATTAAGCAGTGGAAACAATTTGAAAAATCTTTGAATCGAAGCAACATCATTCTCTTCTACAGCCTGAAACAGTAACAAAAGCGAAAGTTAACAAAAAAAGAAAATCACAAGAAAATTATAGGAAAGGGAGAAATAACCGACGGAAACCTTAAACATCATGGCAACCATAGAAAAAAGATAATATATAAATGCAGCGGTATCTAGACAAAATAATTCCGGAAAACTTTTACGACTTTAAATTTTATTAATATCACTTCAACATTAATTTACTAATGTGATTGATCAAGAACCGAAAATATAACGAAGAAAATGATGATAAAGTTACTTGATCAAAACGCCTTTCGATTATTGATTTCATCTCACTAGTCGCTTCACGCAAGATTTCGTAACTCTTCCCCATTGACTGGCCTACATCTGGAAAAAACTGATTAATTGTCGTAACTGAAAAATTATCACTTCAAACTTACAATTATTTCTTTTTTCGCGGTTACTCACCTTTCACTTCCCCGTCATCACCCATTTGAAAAATTGTTGTATCCAGCGTTAAAAACTTATGAATGTGTCTCGCAGCCAATTCATAATCCTCTTGTTCTATTGCAGAACGTACACCGTCAGCACACGTACGCAAATCCATCAAATCGTTGACTCGCTGCAAGCATTCGACCACTCGACCTTTCGCTACATCTAGTGCCAAGACCTGAAACTTAAGGTGACCTCACCAAAAGATTTCTTCTACAATAGGTGGAAAAATTAGTAAAATTTATTTAAGCAGATCTGATCAAAATTGTAAAAACTGCCATGCCTTTTTCATTCACCGAAGTCTTTTGCTTCTTTAAAAGATAATCGTGGATAAAAGACTTAAATTACCTTGCCTGAAATACTGTCTGCTAAACTAGAAATCATTTTTAGTTTGCTAGCGAGTTGTTTGGCATCGGATTCAACCAAAGTCATTCGATTCTTAAGACGTGTAACTGCCAAATTAAATGGTAAAGAGATATCCGAGCTCGCCGTATGTTCTGCTGAAGCAAAAATCAAATTGTTTGGAAAGCTTTTGTGTAGGCAAAAGAAATATCATCAGGAACACGTACCTCCACTAACTGAAGTCTTATGCAGCATTTCATCTAAGCTTTTAATCAGTCCTTCTTCTTCTTCTATTTTTGCTATCATCTGTCCCCTGCAAAAGAGCATGTGATACACAGTCCATCAGACTTTAATGAAAGGAAAATAAAAAGTCCAATAAATGATTTATACCTCAAAGCGGATAATGTAGCATCGAAATCAAACTGGAGATCTTCTGGTCGTTCCGGTTTTAAGCGTAATAAACCGTTCGGAATATCGCCTTGAATAACCATTTTTAAGATATATGTGTACTATTTTCACAATGTTTAATATAGATCATGAATAACTAATCCCGAATGTTTTTGTTACGTACACTAATCAATTTTGGATGTTTTTGTCAAATTGTACATTTTTAAAATTTTTCTATCAACCGAAGAGCCTTAAAAAGACAATAAAAAAGGCTTATAATCAAATTTCGGAGCTACCGAATAGAAATTGAAAATTAAAACACTGGTCACCAAATGTCCTCTTTTCGCTCCATTTGCTGTAGGCTTCTCGTGCAGACCCAGTCGTAGAACTCAAAGAAACAGCATCTTGGATATTTATCGAATGCATATTTGGAAAGCTTTTAGTGTGAGAAAAACCTAAACAAATACAGAAATCATACATGTTAGCGTCATGGTTCAAAAGAACAGTTCGTTTCTATTTGAAGAATCTTAACATTCCCCGAAGAGTCATATACTTTGCTCGAAAAGTATACATAGAGATGACAAATCCCATTAATTTGATGAAATCAAAATATGCGAACAGTACTTACATAAACATCAGAGAAATGATGAAAATATTCCACAAAGCGATGAATACTCGAAAATTACGCAATGCCCGAAGAAAATCCCGTACACGATCTGCGACTGATCGGTTTTCACCTTCGACAATTACAAAGGAGTCGAAATGACTTGTTTTAGATCTGAAATAAATCCACAGCGAGTAACAAAAAAAGAAAAATTGAGAAAATCACAGCAAACTAGACGAAATTCAAGAACAAAGCATATTTTGTTGCAATGATACAGAGTTGAAGAAACAAAGATGAAGAATAGATTGCTCTAAAATTTGGTTCTCATCCTGAACACTGAAAATAAATCGATTCCGTTACACACAATTCGAAACTCTTACAGTTTGAAATTTATAACAGTGATAGCGTTCAATAGCAATGTAGAGGAAATGATCAGTTCAGAGAGCATTTCTAACTAGTTCCAATTGCATTTCTTCGTTTCAGCACCAAATCATGTCCACTGAAAGGATAACCAATGAATTATGAATTTCTGTCAATTAACACCGTTCACAGCATATGTTGTGGAAATGAAATCAGCATATTTTTGTTAAATTTAAATCAGTCAAGCTCTGTTCATCCACACTCCAACTTGATTTAACTTGAATTTAGAGAAAAAGAATCGAACTCTCGCCCCTCCCCGCCATATGCAATGTTCCTAGCACACCCACTAACGCTTCACACATTCTCGGAATTGAAAATAGGTGAAATGGACGCGTAATAACCGCTACGAAATTCCTAGATCCCAAGGTGTCTTGAAAAATTATATTTGTCTTCTTCCACTTTGCATTGACAGATGCGGTGTAGTCATTGGGTGGTGCAGAATTCGTGACATTTTTGCAAATTTTCAGAGGAAATATGAAACAGCTAAATCCGAATCCTGTCCCCTTACTGGATTGGGCTTTGGTCATCGGGACATTTAGAAAACAAGGATGTGAAACAAGGATGCCATTTCAAATAAAAAAGCGCTTTCATTTGAATAAATTGTACGTCAGCAGATATACATAGACATCAATTATAAGCCTCAAATGAATGTAACAACATCAACTACACTCATTTGCGCAAATTAGTAGACACGAGAAAGATTGAAAGCCACACATGTCTAGCTATAGGAGGAAAAGTTTTGGAAGTGGAAAGAAATCAAGCGCAAATATCTGTTGCTGATACTACAGTTCAGATAACAGATCAAATGGATGGTAGACGCCAAAAGAACAACAACAATGAAACTGACCAATACGGCATAAATATTTGAATCTATTTTAGTGCTCGGTAGCAGTTTTCCTATAAAGCTGAAGCGACTGAATTGAACATGAGGAAAACAAAGGTCATCAGGGTCATAACTTGCTTATGTGCCCGCGTAGCTCTACTTATCAGCCTAGCAGGTACTTGCTATATGTTCTTTCTTTACCGTCAACTAATTGAACCCACTAGAGGTCAGCTCATATCTTTAAAAAATCCAAATTTGTTTGTTGGTCATTTATTTGCACCGCAAAAATTCCTAAAGATCTTCTAGAGAAGTAAAAGCAAAAATTCTGCTCCATTAGTTTTACCAGGAAGTGTACCTAAACATTCGAAAAGTCTGAGGAGAATTTTTACACAACCGAATGCACCAATAAGATCTATAACTCATAAATTCACCAATCGTCTAAATGTGAAAGAAATAGCAAACTTTATGCTTTAAATTTCTTCCGCTTCTTTCAGGTATTCCTCACCAAATTTAAATCGGCACAAAACTTGCGGAAAATTCTAAGGAATTTTGGGAATTTCAAAAAATTTTAAGAACCTGTCAATTATCTTTGCAAAAATTTCTTAACTGTTGAGAAAAAGCTAAGATTCTTATCAACGCTAGTTATATTAGTGACACCTTCAACCGTAATTACAACTCATAAATTTACAAATTGTGCTTCAATACAAAATAAAACAGAGATCACCAAAATGACTGGTCCTGTTAAACAGAAATAACTGCATTCTTCACAAAAGAATTAAAATCTAAAGGAATGATGAAATGCGCAAATATTTTCGTCCTAGTTGCTTTTTAAAGAATTTTGAAACTTCGATAATAAAATTAATATTCACTGAAACGAAGGAAAAATAAAAAATGCACTGCAAGGATTAAACTCGAGTAGAAATCAAGTTTTTATGACGAGAATGTGACCTAATTTGAGTTAACAACGAGGCGTTCGACATTAAAATTGCATAAAGTGTAAAATTCACTTTATGAATTACTTTTATCACTGGTTGATATTGGAGATGATAAAGCTCTACCAAGCTCTATTTTATGAATGTATGCCTCAGGAGCGGTGTTAATAATATCTAGCTGTGAGATTGGTGCTCTTTTTGCATTTTTTTCTTCCTTATCACCACCTACTTGCGTTGCTCTGCCCTTATATTGCGTTTTCTTGACCTGGAAGTTAGAACGAATTAATTACGCTAATTACATTAATTAGTTGCACTACAAATTAATTACATCAACCTTACTGCAAAAATGTCATATTTATTTACTGAAAGTATTTCAATGTTCCTACTTTTTTGTCCATTTCACTTTTGTTCATATTTCTTTAGTGATGAAATCTGAAGAAAAATGATGGAAATTACTGCAAATTCCAAAAGTGTAATTAAACTGTAATTGATAAGATATATGAAATTGCACTTTTTTATATTTGATCTTATTCAAAAATATTTCATCTTTTTTTATTCAAGCCATCGCCTACCTCACTTTTAATCTTGTTGATTACTTTTCGCAATCTACGACAACTCTCCTTTTCTGCGCATGATCCTTAAAAATATTTCAAAATAAAGATTTAGAATCGAAGAGCAATGATTACACAAACAACCAATGCTTTTCGATTTGAATTAGTAAGTACCAATTTAGATTCATTATTTGCGATTGCCTAAATAGCATCATTTTAAGGAAGGGACGTCATTAATTTGCAGTTAGGAATGGTAATTAACGATACTTAGTATGTCTCTACCTTGCACAAAAGAATTAATGGTAGTGAGCAGAACCGGAAGTACGATGAGACTGTGAAAAATACCGAGCGCTGCGGTAATTGTAACAGTTTTGATGAATACCATTGCCAAATACGACTGCTTCAACAACAACGGTAAAAGTGCGACAATGGTGGAAATAGCCACTTGCAACATTGGCCAGCCAATTACTGTCAGTGCTTCTTCAAGGCGATCTCGACTGTCCTGTAATAATTTACAAGATCACATAGCTTCTATTATACGAGATATTTTGCGACCCATGACAATACTCTGATCCATAAGTTTTTCTTTAATTAAAGAAATAAATACAGATAACATTTTATGTCATAAAATTTAAAATGGCTTAGATGAACTGTTGTAGATACTAAAATTAGAAACTGAAATAAATAAAATACACCTTAGCTGTCGTTTTGTAGTAGTGATAGCTAATGTGAGTTGTGAAATCCACTGAAAAGCCGATAGCCATCAGAAGTGCAGCCATAGTGATCGGATCCAAGTCTACTTCCATATGCGATAATAACCCAAATATACCGATGCTGATACTGAATATTGAAAAAACCGCACAACTAATACTGATTAAATTCGGAATAAAAATGAAGCAGACTGTTGCCGAACAGAACAAGGCTGCTATCATGCTCCACAATATCGTCCCTTTGATTGCTATGGTCTGAATGATTGAAATTAATAAGTGAAACACGAATGCACTTGATAATTATTGATTGAAAATTTTAAAACTAAAACTGAAGGTTTAAAATATGATGTGAGAGAAAAATTTATATCTTTATTAAGTTCGTTAAATCCTACACGAATTACTATTAAGCCAACAACGATGTTTAATGCTTGATTGCACAATAAATTGCACAACTAAATTATTTCTGCAAATAATCCCAGAACTACTCCCAATGTTAGAATGTGAAAGAAATGGTACCTGGTCAACGAAAGGAGTATGGTCACTATAAGGATATACTTCATAATCAGAATATTTCGCCGCTATACGTCTCCAGTCAACAACTGCTGGGATCATTTCATCATATCTGATAACCTGAAAAATTTAAAGCACTCAACTAATAAGTCTTCATTATTTGAATATAAATGTTGGAATCATCATCATCATGGCCAAGCTACGCGAACGAAGATTTGGGAAGGGATCTACCCGCGCTTGCTGCAAATGGTACAAATAATGCTACAAATACTCTTCACTTCTAAGTTCATCTCCCAAACCTGACGGGTTTGGACGATGACAATGAAGTCCTCAAAAAGCAGTTACCAGGTCTAAAAAAACTCTATCTGTCCAGGTTTGGAGTTAGAGCAGTCCATCTTCCAGCATAGTTGCCGGAAGGCTGGCTGTTCGTGGATACATTTTGTCTGACCCTTCAGTTGATATCCGTCGGTACGGTTTCTCGTGCTGAAGAGCATAAACCACCACCAGCGTACTTCGCAACTTCATGGAGTTACGCAAGCTTCTTCCCAGTGACAAGGGGATGTCCGTGGAGGAGTAAACATATGCATTAAATTCAAGTAATACCTCGTTTATAAGGTACACAAATGATATTAGTTTTTGTAAAAGTCTGACTTATAATTTACTGAAATGGGACTTGAGTATTAAGTGGTTTAGAACCGTTAATTTTGATCAAAGCACAAACCCCATGAAAATTGGTGACAAAAAAGAAGGAAGAAATGCATTCCGGTTGATTATCGTAACAAGCGGTTTCGTTCATATGTACAAATGAGCTAAGGAAGAAATATGTTGCAGATTTGAAAAATGCAGGAATTTCTGTATACGTGAAATCTTCCGATTCATTATAAAATCTAAATGGAAAACTTTAAATTATCAATCAATTAGTTCATTCCACTCCACTCTCTACCTTTTTTGTCCCTTTTATTTCTAAAGAATATTTTTTTAAAGATTTAAAGAATGGCAATTAGAATATAATAAATTAATGTAAATTACCGGAAGAATTGGACTTACGATAGGAATTCATCATATTGTTGAAGCCAGAAGAGTGTCGATTTATTGCCATAGCTGTGAAGACCGTGCTCATATTCTGATACCATTGATTTGATTCCTGAATTTTTGTCACAACAATGAAATGATACTCTAAAACTCTCTCCCCTACTTCGGTCTACTTTTAAAATTTAACAAAAACGAACAATATGGAAATTAATTAAAGAATTGAACATATGAGGACACATTTTTTTGATTAAATATCTAAGTGAAACAAATGCTTTACATAAACAATGGTTTAAAATACATCAATAAGAAACAGTTTCCATCAAAAATTTTGTTTGCTTTTTAAAATCTCGACGAAAATGGTGAATGGAATTGGAAAATTTAAGAATTTTTGATGAATTAAAACTTGACTAGCTTATTGTGAATAAACTTCCAAATTTTTCCATCTGATTGAGCAAATTTTGATATTATAAGGTTATACTTGCTGGAACAGATTTTAACTATCTTCCAAGATTCTCTGTCAGGTGATGCGATGCTTGACTTCCCAATATATGTGATTTTCAATAGAATTTTTTCCTCTTAAGATCTCTGATATCTAAACAGCTAATATGTTATGTGCTACTTCAAATGTCTCGAAATCAACAGACAAGCGTCAGTGAGATCCTTTATTTTTAAAAACGTTTAAACATAATAATAAAAAAGGAACGGAAAAATGAAATTCGACGTTCCAATGTTTGTAGTCCAGAAGACTGATATTAAACAAAGTAGGAATCCATTTAATAAAGCAATTACCCAAGTCTGCTCTCCCTTAACAGCTGTTGTACTTCATGCTTTTAATTTCATTACTTTTTGAAAGTAACAGTTTTAAAATGATACATCAGAAATAAAACATTAATATTTTAGAATGTACCATTCAGTCGATCAGGATCCCTTAGATCACCTGGATTCATAACAAAAACAGTGATTGGTTGCATGCTTCGAAGGGCTTTTTCAAAAATAAATTGAAAGCTGTGAAGATATGAATCCGGAAGAGCCATCTTGTCGACCGAAATTTTAACTTCCATTTTTAGAATACCCCGGAGAGATATATAATAATACGCTACCAACACCACCACAAGCAATGCTCTATGAGTTAATTTATCAATTAATGATGTTGGATTATCAAAAATTGGTCACACTTCGATAATTTCTACAAAAGCTTCAATGTAAATGTATCTTTTATGTCTTGTCAATGTAAAAGTGATATTATTTTACTTTCTTCTAAAATAAAAGATTTGCATACCTAATAAACCACGTTGTTATTATGGATGACCATGATTTGATAAGCCAGTTTTGAAAATGAGATATTTTTTCAGCAGTTCGATTTCGTGCCTTAAAAAATTAACTTCATCTGCAAATTTTTTATCATGCGTTAAATAACTGATAAAAATACAGCTTACATTATCGATTAAAGTAAAATAGATATAGACGAAAAACTCACACTGGGATCAGCTTTAAAGCAGCAAAATAACGCCTGATAATTGTTCCGCTCACGCTTTCCGCTTAAGGCTAATACAGCGGTAAATAAAATCAACTGGAAGAAGTAGCAAACAATGATGGCAAAACATGAATAGATTGAAAATGTACGTACTGCTGGAGTTGATGAAAAAATACCGATTCCGAATGATAAGGCATTGGTAAGTGAGCTAAAAATTTCTGTGGGGGTTTAAAGAAATTTACAACAGTAATTTAACTAAGAACTTAAAACAAAGTTATAAAAATGAAGAATGCACAATTTAATTCGATTCATTCAACCGAACGATTGGCAGTGTCAATTAAATATTCTCATAAATTGATTCAATGTCCATAAAAAAAAATTTTTATATTTTTTCTTCCATCGCATTAACAATGACTTTTATAAGAATTACCTGATTGTAATTGAAGGCCCAGCATTCTCGAGTGTTTTTGCCAGTCGTGCCGGTATCGGTATTGTGATACTTGTTCGATCCCATGCACGCATTATAATAAATACATCATCGACACCAACTGATAATACCAAAAAATATGTCACAATGACAATTGACTGGTATCGGAGTCCACAGAGAGATAGTATTCCTGTTGACATTAATACGGAGAGGATCGGTATTAGACTACCGATAAGCGATTCCCAAGGTTTACTTTTTAATGGATTTCTTCTGCAATTTTAGTTTAGTTCAAAAGTTGTTTGAAAATAAATGATATACATATTTCAGATGCCATGCAATACCTGGCCATATCGACTGCATCTTTTTCTTCAATTATATTTCTATAGATGACAGAAGGGATTCTTATGTTAGTTATCTTTTTTGTCATCAGGAACGATATGAAAATATAATATATTGAAAGGTTAAATCTTCTAAAAAAGAATTTCCTATATTTAAATGTATGAAATCAGCCTTGCATAACAGCTTTAAATCTGAAAACAGCATTGATATTGAGTACTAATTCGTGAAGATTCGATCGATACAGTACTCAATAAACGATAATTATTACCAATAAAGTTAGAAATAATTGAAGAACTAGATTAAAAAAAACTCCGACAAGACTCAGAAATTTGAATGTTAAAATAAAAAATTTCATATAATTCACCTGATCGAACTGACTGCAATGAAAAATATCATGATACAAACGGATCCAAAAAGGACTGGCGCAGTTTCCAAACCCATTCGACGAACTTCTACCGAAACCAGGCAATCACTGGTGAGGCCGACCTGAAAGAATTCATGCTTTTTTCTTTTTTTCTTTAATTCGACCTTAGGGAACCAGAAGAAAAGTCTTAAAATCAAAACGATTGCATCGAAATTTCATTAATAAATTGTTTGAAAATCACAAATAAACGACAGCAAGTATTAATTCCCAAATACTTATCATTGGCAATCGAAACAAATTTATTCATTATTACTGTTTATTTCGTGCATAATTGCTCACTGATTACAAAGCTGAGTGTAATTTCGAAATTTCAAATTAAATGTATATTAGGATGTAGTTTCAGTTCCTTTCGAAATGGTAAAACTGTCAATTTCATTACTTTTATGCCTTTGTGCCTTACTTCAGGAAGCGGAAGATGCCTAACATTTTAACCATCAAACTGATGTGATGAAGTCAATTAAAAAAGTAAATGGGAATAAATCCAACAAAAAATAAGTTAAAAGTATATGTATAAGTCTATTTTAGTTCATACTCTACAGTAATGATCGATTCCATTTATATATATATTATATTGTCGCACAACTGCGACATACCGAGCAGTTAGCTTTGACAGAAATTTCTACAATTCATTCCATTTTTAGTAAGGAAATATTTTTTTAGTCACATTTATATAAAGTAAATCTGCTTACACTAAATAGCTGAAATTCTTCCTGATTGTAATATTGTTGTATTTCCAATTGCCATTCGTACAGGATCTCATCATTTGATGCGCTAATGAATAGTTCGAAAACTGCGGTTGAGAATGACTTAATAAAACTTGTATTTTCCTCAAGTTCCACACCGTAAACATTATTCCCTGGAAAGTTAATTCAGAAATGAATTTGAAGAAGAATAAAAAACGCTAGCAATACTAACGATTGTGATTTCCGGTCACTCGAACTTCTGGTCATTTAAAATAATGATTAAACTGCATCTCATATGTGACCATCCATTCATGTCTTTTTAAAAGAAACAGAGTAAAATCCATCATAACATTGCCATTTAATTCATATTTGTTGGTCAGTTCAGAAACTTATCCAAGTACCCATTTCATGGTATTTGGATAATCACAAATGTACGGTAGAAATAATATGAGTATCACTATATTTGTACAAGTACAACAAATTTTCAAGTGAAAATTTAAAAAAGAGAGAAATTTAAGGGAAAAAAGAAACAAAAAAAATATTTCATAATTGAATGAATGATAATGAAATTTCACACAGTAAGAAGATATACGAAAAAAAGAGTAATAATGAAAAATAGAAAATAGAAACTGCGCTATTGTCATTAAATTCGTTTATGAAAACTGAAGAAAAATTTTTACCACTATTTAACGGTTCTTACTCATTAAACTCATTATTGCTTTAGCTGATAAAAACAAATTTCCCTAATCATAACAGACTTTTACTCTTTCTACCGATGTTTTCAGACTTCTCTCTAAATTCCCATCCCTGTTACTGTTACTATCTGTAGTAAGTGTTATTCTCTTAGGAACAAGCTCAATATAATGTATAGTGCTGTACGGAAATATTATTGTTTTGCTTCCCCTCGTAGCTCCACGATATTGTAATAATAGAATTTAGAATATAATCGGTTCAGGATGCTTTATTTTCCAATAAAAATAACGCAAAATGTCTACCAATGAAGATCTGTGATCCCAAAAAATCGATAGTTGGATAGGTGTATGTAACTTGATTGTTCGGATCATAAAGTTTTAGGAATGCCATGAAAGCGGCATTTAACTCGCAGTATGGTTCGCACAACTCCTTGAATCCATATTGTTGACCTTTGTATTGAATTGTAATATTAGACTGAATTTGTTTAATTAATTGTATCAATGTTTTTCGATATTCATCACGCAACAACGATCCATTGTCACGCGCTTCGACCAAAACATATACCGGATCCAGTGTGCCGTTCTGAAATCATTGACAGCCATTTCTGCCGATTTTACTTACTTTCAGCTGTTTAGTTTGTGTATTAGAAACTTAAAATTATTAAAACTGAAAGAAATTTGAATGTGTATTGAATAACTTCCAGTTCACAGAATTTCTTTCTGAATATTTGGATAGCTTCATATATAGTAAGCCTCATACATTAGTCAAGACATTTGCAGACATTTCTGAAGCACGCGGGTAGAGAATAAAACTTCATTTCATCACTGATATCACTTGCAGAACCGGGTATTAAGAAGCGCTGGTGGTGCATCACATTATTTGTATATAATACCTGTGGGGCGGAAAATTCCAGCAGCCTACTTTCAAGTGTTATTTATCTTTAAAAAGTTAGAACTCTTCCTATAGTACTGTAAGGAAATTACCCATCATTAATGTGCGGTAGTTAATTTATAGTATTACCTGTCCAAGAAAATTCATAGCGACGGTATGCTCGATTTTGCTGGGTGCATTACTGGGTGAATATTCAGTCCTAACATTATTAACTTCATTGAGTTTAAATATTCCTAGGCTTGTTAAGCTCGATAGAATCAGCATTGTGACGATCACCCGTATGGGTTTCTTTCCAATGAAAGCACCCAAAGTTCTGAAATTCCCAGCAATCGCTTTTTCCAGCTCTTCGATCATCCCCATTGCGCTATTCGCAATTAGTGGAATTATAAATTTGTGTCTTTTCGACTTGTCTTTGAACTGTGCAAAATAATTTCTTTCACTGCAAAATAATTCAAATTTAGACCAAATAGGAAATGTCCAATTCAATTATGGATTAACTGTAAATTAATTGTCCATACAGCGCAAAAGAAACGTCTACAAACTTAAGTTTCTTATATAATACTTGACCTTGGACCAAAGAAACTTGAAATTTGAAGAAGCAAGCGATTATTGGAAGTATGACAGTTTTTGTTATTCATTAAATAAAGTGAGGAATCAAACCTGCGATACTACATAAATATTGGGTAATCTATGAGAATACAAGAGTTATAAAGTGGAAAGAAAACTGGGAGGAAAATAATGAGTGTTTAAGTGAAAAATTTGGGAATCTGATAAAATGAAAAGAGAAAAAACAACTCTTTTACATTTGTAGTCTTTTGATCAATCTTCTGAAACAATAATTCCTGCGCATTTTGCAATGTTTTGAAATTGAATTTAGTTTCCCTTCGTATAAAATAGCTTTTTCATTTTATGACAGGACTATATTTAGTGATATGATTTGGAATCGTGATTTTTTTTTTAGATTTATTTTCTTGAAGGCAAATAAGTGCTCTTTACGATTTTTTATTCGGCATGAGAATATTGCGGATATACTGCTAAATGTCTAATAATGAAGGAATTTATTAAATGAAGAATTTGATAGCTGACATCCTGAATTTCTCTCAGAAATTCTATGGAAAATCATTCCCGACAAGTAGTTAAGCTGCAGCTTAAAAACATTAATGTTAAAATTACAGCGATCAAGAGCACAATCGATTTTTCCACTTCTGAAAATAATTTTTCCCAGAAAATTTATCCATTTGCTGCAGGATTATTTCCCAGAAACTATAAAATGGCAGCCTAATGCATAACTTTTAGAGATTTTAGTCAAATCCGATCGAGAAATGATAATGAATAAAATATTCAATTAAATAACAAAAACTTCCACCTGCTTATTGGAACTCAAGCATTAATTATATATGCGCCACCTTTCATCTTGACTTAAAACTTATGAATATTTAAAATTTACAAGTTTTTTAAATTTTTAAGTAACTAATTTGAGATTTTTTTCGGTTAAAATTTCTTTAATTTTTAGGATTTATGAATAATTTAAGCTGTAAATCACTTATCATGTTTCATCGCATATTACAACAAGGGGAAGTATTTTTCGCAACCATCGAACTGACCAGTCGCTCAGTTTCACGACGAAATAAGAACTGCAAATGTAAAAAAGTTGATGTGAAAACTTAAAGAAGTTATTCGTAGAATAATGTCTGGTCATTCTATTGGGCTAATAAATCCTAGATCCTGAATATAGTCTTTCTCTTATCACTGAAATCTTTTTTGGTTTATCAATCAACTGGAAAAACTTTTGGTGTCTCTCTTCTGCCTAACTTGAATTTCGAAATTTCAGGTTATGTCCGTTGTGATTGCCATTGTTACCATTCTCGCATTGGAGAACCGGATCAGTCTCAAGAATTGAACATTTTCGATTTACAAAAATGATAATGAAAAGAAGCAGAAAGAGAGATGAATTTTTGCTCGTTATTACATCACATCGATAAAAGATGAGATTGGTGATGTGAAGAGAGAAAGTGTGGGGAAAAAGCTCGGGAATATCAAGAGGAAAAATTAATTTTTAGATGGAACAAGCCATTTAAATTTAATTTGTTTAAAAATCTGACCGAAATTAATTTCAGCAAACACTAATTTTGACCTAAAATTGAAATTAGTCTTGAAAAAAGAATAAGATGACCCCAAATACTTATAACATCATTTACAGTGGGGGCAAAACTGGAATACCAATATAGTCGTAGTAACGAGGGCAGAAACTTTTGAGTTTTTTAGTAATAACTAAACCTGTCAATCATTGTCGTACTTGTCATAGATTGAAATTTTTTACGAGTTTCTGTAAAATTTAGGCAAAGTTTAGAGGAATCGTACTAATCAGATATTTTCCAGCAATAGTCTAGTCATTTAATTTGCTAGCAAGGAAGAGAATCATCTTCGGCATTTTCTTAAAGGTGAGAAATAATTTCTATTTACAGTAGTAATAAAACATGAAATCCACCCATTTATTAAACTTGCTTACTTTAACGTTAGTGCTACAAGTAAAAGTTAAAGAGGGAATTCAAGAAATACTGCTTCTAATTTGTTAATGGATCATGCACTTCCCCCTCTATTTTACCTATTTCCTTGTCTGATCAACTATCATCAGCAACTTTTAAACCAAAAGAAATGCGGTTCACGATTTATCACAAGAAATCATAACTCAATTAAACTCATTTAAATTTAAACTTACAACAGGGAACAGGAAAAGCAGTTCAACATTGTCACAAAGTCTTTTTAACCAAAATTTCATTATATGCAGCTCTAAAACAATATCGTTAAACTTTTCGAACTAATTTTTCTCCTCTAATTTTACAAAAAAAAAGTGTTAATTCAGAGAAAAAAGCAATAAATCACGTTATGAGTTAAACTTATCATTTTTTTTTTGGACTGTTTTCCCACTATTTTATTTAATCACAATAAGTTAAATCTATAATAAACTCAAAAGAAGAACATAGAAATGAAACTTATTAGGAACTTATTGTATTCACTCTTTCAGTAATAAATTGTAAAGTATGAATGAATACATCTAAATGAGAAGAATTAGATTTTATTTGGTAATTAGCGATCATATGATATTTAGACTATCACATAATCAGCCAAACTGGTTTGAATAATTCGAGTGCATTTATTGAACAGAACTAATGGATCATTGAAGTTGAACTTATAATATCTAAGAAATCTTAACAAAGTTCGATAAGGAACGAGTAAAAAATTAGTTTGAAACTGTTGAAACGTTGAAACTTCTGCCACGTCAAGACCACTTCGCTGATTTTTCATTCCAAAATACGATCAGATCGTAAAAATTACACTCACTGTAAGAAAATGATTTCACATGACCTGATGTGTATGATTCATTTGAACAAAAATGAAAATAAAAACTGAAAAAAGAAAGTACGTTTTTCTCAGTTTAATTTTGTGCAATATGTTAAAAGTACGAGTTTTTCTTCTAGAATCCTGTTTATGTCTTTTTTTTTTCAATAAATATTTCGCAATATTACAAAAAAAGAGACACAAACAGAATTTTTGCTTTAAAATTCCACTGAGAAAAAGTATAAATGGTTGCCAGACTTCAACAAGTTTAGCTTGAATTGATGGTTATCATCGCCTGATTGATTAACTGATGACAGCTATGAACATGCTTAATTGTTGGACGTCTAATAAAGCATTTCACTATATTATATGAAGTGATTCGAACTTATATTCGTAAAACTGCTATTTTGATTATTTCTAACTAGAGTTTTAGTGATAGTGGTGATAATGTAGGATATAATGGAAAGAAGATAATGATCAAACTTGTAATGATAATGATGATATAAATACCGGCAATATTGGAAGCGTGAGGTTGATGAAATTCAAATTCATCAAACAACTATTAAAACTTTTTACGAAATAAGAAAATTAGCTTGCTACTTTACATGAGAATTTCAAATGTTGACGATTTGGATTGCAATATATTCGGAAGGAGAGGAAATAACTTCAGGCTTAGAACCGGCTATTGTCCAGGATGATGGTCATTTAATGAAAAATAGTTCTTTACAGCAGTTGAGATTTTCAAAATTCTTTGAAAATTTTTGAAAACGAATCGAAAAATTTTTAATTTAGCGGTCTATTTTACAATAAGTGGTCGAAGAAACTGACCATTGTGCAAATCCGAAATAACAAGGTCAAATGAATTATGAGAAAAATGGTTGACAAAGTGATAAAAACGACATCGGTGGTTACATTTGTCCCTAAATTATCATAAAGATCACAGTTTATGTAAGGTGGAAGAGATAGAAGATACGGGTCGGGAGAGAAATACCGTAGCAGTGTACCCGGTGATTGCGTACTCTTAAAAATCAAATTTATCTCCCGATCTCTATGTTTTTTTTCAAGTCACTGCCCCTTTTATGGTCACCGAGAGAGATGATAGAGAGGGGAAGCGCTGTTATCATTTTTGAGCGCAGTAGAAATCCAATGACTAACAAGAAGTAACTTTTAAATATGCAATTCTTTTTTTTTTTTCAATTCATTGTCTTTCCTTCTTCTTCATTTCTCTCTCCTAATCAACCTTGTTTCCCTTCCCTTGCCTTTCCCTCTCCTCTCTTATCTACCACCTTTTAAGTAAAAATCAAGTAATACAAAAGCATTACTTCATCTTATTAAGATTAAATCTTTTAAGACTAAGTGAAGGGATTCCTTGGAAAAAACGTTTTTAAAAAAATGTAATTTGGATCTTGAAAAAAAAAAACCTTATGAAGATTGCGAGACTGTATTCATCAACAAAATCAATAATATAGGATATGTTTGAAATAGGAAGAGGAGTGCGAATGATATTCGTGCGTGAAATTACTGCACCTGTTATATGACACCGAGATGGAAAACGGAGGGAGGAACGCAAAAAGTAATCAACGAAATTTCTTGAAGAGATCGTTCCAATGACAGCTTTATTCAGCGATATTATTCATACAAAAGTCTCGACTATTGTATCCTTCCTATCTGTAATACGTTGAAACTTGAATTACTATAAGTAGTGCTTTGGCGGCATTTCAAAGCAATACATTGATAAAGAATTTTCGTAGCCTGTTGTGCTGGGAACAATACATCATTACATTAACATAAACAGTAGTTATATTCGATAATTTTTCAGAAGTTATTTGACCAAGGCACTGAACAATTTGTAGGATAATTAATTAGTTACTAATAAAACTTTTTGCATCAGAAATTCCATTTTTGATATTTGATTTCGTCATGAACAAGTATTGACAATACAATTATTTGTAACTATTATTCCTTCTACACTGATTCGGCTATAATAATTCCATGTTAGAATGTTTTATAACCTAATTGCTGATATTACGTGCTCTCAGGATGTCACAATTTCCAACTTTTCGCACCCCTACTATTAATCAGCATGTCATAGCGAACAATTGTTAACAAGGATTGATAGCATAACGAAAGTTTGAAATTGTGCAAAAATAATTCATCTTAACAGAATATTTGGATAGTATTTGGAAAGATAAGGTTTGATTGGTTGTGAAATAAACAAACACTTAAAAAGTAACTTTCCCAATAATCCATGGATTACTACAAGAAATTGTTACAGAAGAAATTATAACTGTTGAATGGTAATAAGATCTCTGGTCGTTCACGGAAGGTTTTCAAAAGGAACCGCTCAATGATGATAACTTATCTGCAGATTAAAATGATTAGAGTTTAAAGTCAAATACTGATAGAAGAGACTATCACCATAAAGCTATCGAACATTCATCTTGATACTCGGTAAAATGCAGGAAAGGTTCCAACACCGTCTCAAAAACTTCGAAAACACTACGATTTAGTAGATTCATAAAAAAATCGGAGAAATCGTAACAAACACTGATATATAAATTGGTGAGTTTTAAATTCCGCCAGAACGGTGGTTCAAAAAAAAAAAAGAAAGGAATTGTAAATGATCAAAGAAACGGAATGAAAAAGTTAAAGTTGGCACAATACAAAGCATGTAAACCATCTGATCACACTTTTTTTTCAATTGTGATTCCTGTTTAAACTTCATCATGGTTCCAATAGTTTGTAATATTGGCACATGGAAAAGTACACGAGTATTATTGACAGTTATGCACTTTTCTTTGTTATTTTAATTGGCAAAGAAATACTGCAAACGATAAAAGAATGAATTAATAGATAAGTTAATAAAGGTTGCTTCAATGTTTCTTTACAATTGTTGTTGTAAAATTCTTTTAACTATCAAAATTTATTGAAAAATACGATGTTTAGTTTAAAAATTCTTAAGATTGCATTGATGATTAATTCTCAATAAAATCTCAACATTAATTCCATTTTTCCATTAGACAGATAATCAGCTTTTTTGAATTGATACAGGCGTACAATCTCAGCTACTAGGCGATTCTCATCTTTCCAAAGTTTCCGAAGTAATTCATATCCTTCAAATGTATCATACAAATACTGCAAGGAAGTGCTTCAAGAGGACGTCTGTAGCGGAATAGACGACATCCTTCTGTAACGAAATAGACGTCGTGGTCTTCTTAGATACTTTCACAGAGAATATTCCATACTGTAGCACATATTAATTGGTTTAAGCAATGTTAGATATGACAATGATTCCTTTTAGTATTAATTGTATAATGGAGTTGTTTTTCATGACGACATTGTTTTTAACAAATTTACGATTTAACATTAACGTTACATTACCTTTTAAATGTAATAGTAATAAACTGAAGATGCCACGACTTTTCCTTGTTTCATCTTTTTTTTCCAGAGACAAAAGCAACCAGTTTAGAAATGTTTCAACGAACTTGCTCTAAACATGGTGATATTTCTACGATTCTATGGATAATTAATGTAAATTAATATCAGAAGCGTCTCATTCATTTGATAGACTTATATTTCTTCAAAATAGTTAATTCAAATGGTTTGCAAACCAACAGATAATTTAATAAAAACCACGGACAACTCCATTGTTCCATGATAAATTAATAGTCGATGCGTAGAAGAACGAAGAGTTACATCAAATCGAAATAATTAAAGGATATTTTAACTTTGAAGAGATAAACTTTTACATTTTCGAAAATCTTTTTACCTTCCTTATTCCTCACATCCCTCACTTTCTTAGATTCAATAGAGTGTTAATTTAAAAGAAAAAAAAAGAAAAACCTAATTTAAGGTTTCTACAGCTAAATACGAAATAAATACAACTGTAGCGGAATGAGAGGGAAGTTTGTGGTGTAGTTGTTATTTGAAATTGAAATTTAGGAAAAAAGAGAATTACTTAAGATCAAAAATGTTGTCAAAACCGATGTCCATAAGATAGCCTAATCACGGATCAAATTTCAAATTTAATGGTATTTCGGGCAGTCACTTTTCAAAAAAGATGCCTTTACCATTGAACAGAGGATTTACCGAAGCGCGAGAACGGAATACACAATTATCAGCATAATTTACCATTTGGTATATCCGATCATGGTAACGCAGCCTCACATTACGCCTTATATAAGCCTTATCAAAATGAATGATGACGTAAGCTGTGAAGTGATCAAATAAAAACATCATTCATGTCAGATATTTATATTAAAGTAAAGAGTAGTTGTAATTCTTATTCATGATCTATAAAACGAAGGAAAGCAAAACTGACATCTTCTACCTTCCTCCACGTAAAGGACAGTGTCTAAAATTTCTGTTGTAATAAATTTATTTTCAAACTACCGTAATGGTCCTATAGTTGTATTCCTTTACCATATCAAAAAGTTGTTTATTTTGTGTTTAAGAAGGCTCCACTTCTTTTTCCACTTTTGTTTCTGCCACATACTAACAGATTGTTGTTTAATGCTATCTCTCATTTCCTGTGAAGAAAAAAAAGACACATCGACAGATGAGCAATATCGTAGAAGTGTAAATGCGAAAAGGAAGTTTAATGAAAATAGTAAATGAGGAATTTGATGTCGTCCATGTGAGAATAATAATGATGAGAATTAGAGGTTTAGAGGAAATAAGTGACAATGCTTGATAACAATAACATCGATTGGTGAAAGCGAAAGGAGACAGAGCTGAGACACGACAAGCTTCTGGTATTTCTTGTTTCCATTTCTTCCACGCATAATTCCCCGCAATCCAGTTTTTCTTCCAAGTTGGTAATGAATCACGGAAGTGAAATGACTTGCTTTTTCAAGATTTCATTTCATGACAAAGTACACCAGACCCGCTTTCACTTCACTTTAGTGTTCTTCCTAGCGGAAGAAAACTCTGTAGAGTTATTTCCTTATTTCCTCATCATTTTAGATTTCCCCATTCTGTTTGTAGATGTTGGCTTGAATTAGACTTTTAAGGAGGTAATGAAGAGATAATTGTGTAATGGTTAAAAAACAAGTTAAAGATAAACGGTAATTGTTGCGCTAAAAAAAAGCGTGCTCTTGCGTAGAAGGGATAGTGAATTTCTTAATCGAATGGCTTCAAGGTTCCTATTCATATATTCGAAACAATGGAAATTTGCATGAAATCTAAGTTTTTAGATGAGCATGAACGAGTTTATTGACCAAATAATCATCTATGTATCGAAGTAATAGACTAAATTTCACAGCTCATTAATTCGCTTTTAAGCGCAAAACTCGTGTTCCTCGCAAATTTCGATTCGAATAGACCAGGTAAGCTTTCATAGAAAAGATATGCTTGATTTTCGGCGAAAGATTATTCTAGTTATGAGTTCTATAAAGTGGAAAGAAAGGAACAATTATCTTTGCAACATTTCATTTGAGCAAACGAAAACAAATGAATCTGTCAGGGATTTTAGTGTCTTCCTAGAAACAACATATGGGCCATCATTTGGAATGACATCCAATCATGCATTAATTAAATGACCTATGACCTGGTGATTTCACTGTGACCAGCATTACTAATGGCTGCATCAATCCAATTTTCGTAATACATATTGTAATGTGCTTCCAACTAAGTATGGATTTCCTGGTTGACCATTTCAACTAGTGTTTGAGAACTCAGATGATTTCGAGTATTCAAATGGTCAGTGTTCTGTCAACACTGAAATGACAGCGGAGTATTTTTTGATCGCTTTCAATCAGCTTCTATCATTTACAATACTGATAACACTGACCGTCTGAATACTCGAAACCAAATAAATCTATAAAATTAAAACCAACTCAAGTTATAAGTTTCAAGTTCATTTCTGAATCTCACGTAACGTGAACGTAAGGTGATGCGGCCAGTGAATTTAATGGATCAGATTTCCGGATCACATGAAGAAATACAGTGGATCATCGTAAAGCTTTTTCCACATCGTAAGCTCATTTTGAAAAAGCCTGATAAATTTATCCAGTCTTTACTTATTTTAAGCGACTCTTATCGTCTTACTTCAGTGGTGAACTAATTACTCATCAATGTTACGCCTTCCTTCAATCGAACCATTCACTTTTCGCTTCAAATTTGAAATGAACAGAAATAATCTGCTGCGTTGAACACACTGAAATTTGTTAGTTCAAGAAATTTTAAATAAAAGCATCCATGTATGCACAGCACTGAGAAAATAACTGAAAGTTTTGAAAATCCAGTGGTTAAAATAAAAAGTAATCATGCTGAAGAACTTATGTTTTTTGGCACGAATTTACTGACTCCAAAGTTTTTTCGAGATAAATTTAATAATCGGCTTCGGGATTGTTCTTGTAGCAAGAAATCTTTTGCAATTTACCAGTCATTCCGGTAATTCTCCGAGGTATGTTAACGCTTAACCTATATTTACATAAAACATGAAATCTGGCATTGACAAGATTCGTATGATGGAAGTTTCCTGAGCTATGAAGTAAACTTGCTGTCTTTGATTTCTTTGTTTGTTTGTATTACACCATTTCCGACACCGATAATTTCGAACTGTAATTTTTACACTGATAAAGGAATTTGCTATAAATCACCCACAAGTTAGTGTTAAAATATATTCATGAAAGAAAATCAAAAAGTTAATACTGTTATCTTCCATCGGGTCACTTGGTATGGGAATTATAACAGATCGTCGCATATTCCCAATAAAATGAATTTTGCAGTGAAGACAAAAAATTGTAAATTGCGGATTACTCGAGGTGTAAACAAGCTGGGATATTACATTAAGAAGGTGAACTGATTCTAAATCAGATGTGGTGACACTGACCCACTTTCCATAGAGATACCTATTTCGGTCACTTCATTCCCAAGCAGCGCCAAGAGCCAACACTCGTTTTTTTCTTCCTTACATAGTCATTCTCAGAGTACGGTTAAGGTGGCAGCACCTCACATTGGACACATTGACCAGTCCGAAACCATTCCTCAAGGGTCACGTAACAACGCGCCGAACAATCACATGACGCGCTGGCGTCATCCAAGTGATTGAAAACTGATACACCACGCGCACTTGAATTGATCTTTACCACCTTTTCCCTGCATCTCTCTTTTTTCCACATTCTTTTGAATCCACTTAACTGTCTGACTCTCCGTTATATTCGTCCAATAATGACCCCCGCTTCAACTTATCGATCTGATAACGCCATCGCAAAATGGATCAATCTCCCCCCCGACTTTTAAACAAAATAGTATGCTGGATGTTCCAGACAACGATACAATATATAAAATAGCATACTGATGTAGGAGAACACTTGGAGCGTGGTCACTAGGAAAGATGGTGGGGGTATCCATAGAGCGCTGGAAAAAGGAGAGCATTATTTGAAGGGAGTGATCGATATGGATTATTGAATAGTCCTAATCATAACTAAATGATGAAGAAGGTAGAGCGATTAGAGAAGATGAAGAAGTAGTGTGTTTTATTGGTAGAGAACATGGAAAAAGACAAATGATAGAGAGGATGAACTGATATTAGAATGATATTGCTGTTGTGAGACATCCAGACAGTCAGCATATCGATGAAATAGAGTTGCTTAGAAAATCGATCTTTTGGCCAGACGATCAGACAGTGAGCTGTTCCATCAAAACAGCCAACCAATGGCGCTGCTGTTACTAACACGCACGCATAGGAACAAGGGACAAGACGTGGTTGGTGTGTTATAGGATCATTTGTCGCGGGACTTTTCGCTCGTGTGTGAATGGGTGTGTACGTCGCGTGTAATCCTGCAGGGTCGACAGGGATCACGCGGTGTGCATGTGACACCTGCGAGAATATCAGTAGAAGGGACAGGCCGCTGATGTCGTTCACACTCTCAGCCCTCTTTTTAGCTATTTTGTTTGAAGTAGTGCCATTTACCGCACAATATTGCTGCTCCATTTTTTCCGCTTAAACATTTAAGTGTGCACGTTCTCGTGCGTGGATGCTGCGACAGAATTGTTACTCTGTGTTATGACACATTCGACTAACGTTTCACTCTCTATTACTAACGATTTTGTTGTATCTTTGTGACAGCTATGTTACACTTTGAAGTTTTGTAATCACTCTTTAAGCATATTCGTCAACGATAAGGAGCGCAAATGCAACAAATGACACGCTAGACTGTAGCGTAAGTTACAGTTGGAGTGAAGCAGAGAAAGGAGTAAACTATCATAAAATGCCGGAATAACTGGCGTGCATTAATATATCACTAATTTTAGACTTGGTTCAATGTTGATGGGTCTGTTTTGAAATTATCTATTAGCCATAGTCTCTCTCAGATATACCTCTAATTGGTTCTTTAATATGAAATGTCTTTTACGTAAATACTAAACTTACAACATGTTTTAGACTGTACAAACTTCTTTAACTGTTGTCATTATAAGTCAGTTTTTACTATTCAGGGAAAAAGTAAAGACTATCTTATAACCATATCAGTGCATCGAAGTCCAGTTTTTCCGAGAACTTGAGCGAATTTTCCATGATTTTAAATTTTTACCTAAAAGTGTCTAAACACTTTTCACGCAGGTGAATGATGATAGTTAAACGTTAGAAATTTCTTCTTCATCCTGCTAGAACTTCCTGTTCAGAAGAATTGGTCGCCGTCGATATGGAATTATTGTTGACAAGTGATGGATCTTTATGTGATTTCGATTTTCGGTTGTGTGAATTATCCCGAATTGTGTTTTATATCTTTGCATTTACATGACATCGACTTTTGAATCTGACAACTTCGTTTTTAAAATTTGTTGTAAGCCATGATAGCCGAAACATAGCTTCATTTTTTGTGCGATGAAATAGTACCATCGAGCTGCATTGCTGTGGACAATTTTTTGTCAAATGTTTGATCTATTTATTCAGTTTATTGTATCTTTGAATGTGCTCGATGTGTATATAACTTGATGTGTATGTGTGTGTGTGAGGAAGCTTTTATACATATATATATATATATATTATATATATATATACATATATATATATATATATATATATATGTATATATATATGTATAACCGTAGGTGTATGGCTTGAGATAGGCAAGTCGAAAAACGGTTTAATGGAGGTTTCTAATTAGCATCTTTTCCATGTAAATAAGTATTGTTTATTTTTCCTGGTAACGTTTCAGGTTGTCATTCCTCGTGATCATGGTTTCAGCAAAGAGTTAAAAATGGTGAAGTATACTACTGCTGATCAGGAGAAACGTTAGAGCAAAATCTAGTAGTTGCGTCTCGAGATGTGTGAAACGCTCGAGTTATTTTTGGATAAAACTGTTGCCGACTATATATGAACGGTATAAATCTGCAAAGTGTTGTAGAAATACTTTTCGAATTGGATAAGAACTTGGGAGAAAACTATGCCAAAAAAAAGAAAAGTTTCAGGATTTTTCTCTGCATTTTTTTCTACGATCAAAAAAATTCATCCTGGGCAGTATATGCGTTCCCTATGTCATTTCATTACTTCATTATACTCACTTTAGAAGATAGAAATGATTTCCTTTTCGTTTCGAACTGAAGTTCCAACACAGTTTCCAACTGCTGAGGTTATTTGTAGGAGTAACAGATTGTACGTATCTCAGAAAGTGTTTGATCAGAAAGCGTTTTTGATCAAACGACAGTGATTAGCACATCTTGGATACTGTAGCTCATCAAACGAAACTTTTTTCATTGCTGTCGAAGAGTCATTCTGAATGTCTTGTTCTATTTAAAAATGAGAGGGATGAAGTAATAAATCTCCTGGTTTATTGGAATAAAATGTATTATCAAGATCAAGAATACCAGCTTTATAGGTGTAAAAACTTGTTGCTGATAATGAGATATCATTATTCCTTTGAAAAATGCTTTGTTTTTAAGCGTTCGCGGGACTCACGCTTAGTATTTTTTGAAATGTGCAATTCATAATAGCCGATGCTGCAGATCTCACAGGAATGGAGCGACGGAAGCGGAAGTCGTCAATTGGGGAGTATCTCGATAGGTTAATGGAAAATCCCGATAAAGTGCAGCGTTGTTCAGAGTTTCATATGAATTTACGGACATTTTACAAAAAGCGTTGGTTAGATTTATTAACATTTTGCCTTTGATGCTGAGATTTCTGATTCGTGATTTAGAATCAAGGTGATACATATCCTGGTTTGCTGCTGGAACAGTTCACTTGGAGTGTAACATTTTAACTATCTCTTTCGTTAGTTATGGTTTACAGAATCATCAGGATCATTTTTTAATTCACTGCTGAGGGATATCTATTTTAATGTTTTCATGATACATTTTGTTGTGCTGAAGTAAAATTTCCAAAGTTACGCTAAACAGCTCTACTTCTTCATATCACCGTAGCTACTTGAGGTAGCGTTCTCTAACGATTCGTTTTTTTTGATTCATTTTTGCCCTATCCGGCCATTGAGGGCAACATATCTTCCATTAGTGAGCGGGTTGCATGCCATATGTGACATACATCAATTTTCAAAAAAAGTGTTAGCCGTCAAAGAGTTTTTTTTTTTGTTCAAAGTTAGAATATCGGTGGGAAAGTTAGTCTGAAGATTTTTACTTGCAGGAATTGCCGATTGAAGTCTCCACATGTTCAAGGTGTTGAAGTGGATCTTTTTCGTTTGTATGACACTGTGGTTTCGATGGGTGGATGGCAAAAGGTTCATATTATTTTGTCCAAAATATTGACTAAGTTTGTTTCCTAAGAAATATCGTGTAAAATTCTTTTGCCTATAGCTTGGTTGTGTAAAATGTTTCGGGATCCTTTTCTAAATGAAAGCTTTCGACTACGTTGGTTTTTTTTTTTTTTGTTTTTATTTAAATACTGACGTGTTCTGATTTGATTACTTGAGTTTGAGCTTGAAGTTCCTTTGTGAAACAATTCAATTTTTCATTCCCAAGCTTAGTTGCAGATTTCCAAGTTTTCCTAGTGGAGACTTTAGTGAAACAACCGTTATATTGTTTGGTGTATAAATTAGTATTGCTTGGTTGTTGTTAGCAGAAATTCCAAAAGAAGTTCGCATCTTCTACAAAGACGTGCAGGTCAAACTTTTAACTTAGAAAATGGACATATGGTGACATTGGAAAGTTTTTCATTCTCAGGTTTCATGTAATGAGAAATGGGGTGATATAGCTTGTGCAATCGGTCTTACGAACGGCGTGGCGGTTGCTGAACACGCAGTCAAAGTGCTTTACATGCGGCAAGTCTTCGATTCTTCAATTTTTGTTTGGAAAGTTCGAAACAGTCACTATTAAACATCTTAACTCGTTTTTCTTCCGCTCATCAAGACTTTATTTCGACTAAAAAAACGTTTTGGTTGTTATTTCTTGCCACGTACTCATTTCTTAAGCTTCCATACGTTATTTTTAGATACCTTTCAAAATATGAGCAAAATGAATTGGTTGGTGAAGTGGATGATGCAGATTCAGATCTTTTAAGTTCGAGAAGTCGAAGCAAAGGTTTTTCGTCGTTGGCTACTGCTGACTGTCCGATCAGTACGGGGCAGAGGCAGGCTTCAGGTACAGTCACGGCATTTATTAGTCTGTAAAGATAGGTTGGATTTTGTGAAGATTGAAGTTATTTATGAACCAAATCTATTCCTTGATTATCTTAGAACGTGTGGATGTTTTGTCTCTTTGAACTTTTGTTTTTCACTGTACTTCCACCTTATCACCTTATTGGTGCATCAACATTCCTTGTATGACATGAAGTGCAGTTACACGGTGTATTCTCTCAGAATATTTTGCTTGGTGATCGTTTCTGAGTCGGACCTGCTACGAATCGTATTTAATTTGCAGAATATTTTCGATTACGGCCAGAAAAGAAAGAAGCAGAGTATGACCGCATTGTTAAAAGCCTCCTTTCTGGATTACCGAATGAAGTAATTTTTTACTCATCCTTTATGCGTTAGAGTAGTTGTCTTGATTTTTGACGAATCTTTTTTCGGAGAGAGATCTCTGGCTATATGTTTGAGGTGGACTTCGCTGTGAACGTATGTACACTACTGTCACATCCTGGACCTAGAGTTCTTCGACTTGTTGCTGCTCCACAAATTATCACACTTTTGGTTGCTCATCTTGCGATCTTTCCAGATGGTTTGTCAGTTACTATTTGAAAAATAAAATGGATATGGATTCTGAGAATCATTCAAAAATAAATTATGGCAGAAAGTAAAGAAAATTGTTCCGAATAGTGTTCTTTTTCATCAATTTTCAATAAATGCACAGTTAGGGTGTACTTCGCTTGTATATCTGATTTTTTGCAAATATTAATGGATTGTACTGTGAGTGTTGAAGGGACTTTCACTGTAGATGACCGAGCATTTTACGACTTGTACAAAAGTTGGGAATTGGTTTCTGGTCACAATTTTATTGCATTTTGGAGTGGGGCTGGTATCACTGATGACGAAGTTCTCAAGCTTATTCCTCATATCAGACCTTCCATGGTATAGCATTTTTTCTTTAAATTTTTGGGCTGTGATGAACATCAGTAATTGCAAATATTAAGATTTTTATGTTTCTAAATTTCGCATATCCTTAAACCACACCTCAGTGGAATGGTAGATAGTTATGGGACAGTATTTCATTTTTCGATTACGTCTCTTAATGTTATCAGTTATTTTATTTTCAGATCTCGGAAGAAGAAAGTAATATATTTTGTGGTTTAGACACTGAATTTCAACCGCGTAATGTTGTATCATGGAGGGTGCAGCAGGTGTTGTCAATCATAAGGAATCTTTCCTTTGAAGTGATTAATAAAGCTGTACTGGCAGCGAGTTGGCCTTTACTTAAGTATGTTTGTGAAAATTTAGAGCCAAGACAAGGATTAGTTTGGTCGTTTATTGATATCACCATGATAATTCACATATTAAGTATAGATCATTCCCCCTGCTTTTGCTGTATGTTGAAATATAACGGGTATTAAGCGAGTATATTGCACCTTACTTCTCTGTTTTTTTATTATTAGCGAAAAATAACATCCCTGGGAACTGGTTTACATTGGATTGATAAATCAAGCAACATATGTCTGTCATAAATTATGGTTCATACATTCTCACTGTTTATTTTTTTTCAGATTTCTTTTTATTTGCTCGAGTTGTAAATGGAGTATGTTGAGAACAGCAGCACTTGACGCGCTAAGTAACATTGCTTGTGAAGTAAGCGTTTATTCTATTATTTACTGAGTTTTCTAGAATTTTATAGGATTTTCTGAGATTTTTATCCAATACCTTTCATGCTCACTGATGTTAAGTGTAAAAAAATTTTTAAATCACCAGAGAACTTGACTACTGCGTCAAATTCCAGATCGATCTTATGGCGGAAGAATCATCATCCACCAACCATTTATTACTGAAAACGGTTTCATGCTGTCTTCATTCGGACGATAAATTTCGAGTAAGTTTGTCATCTAGTGAGCTAATCTTGCTTCTAGATTAATCTAAGGACTGAATTATTTTGGAAGTAAAGGCTCGCCACGTATCTACCTCTTTTCCCGCGGGATGTTGTGTTCTTCACAAAGTACTCAGAACATTTTTTTTTAGTAGTGGAAACTAGTTCCATTGATAAACTTTATGATATTGCTTTGCTTAAGGGAAGAATCGCGCTTATGGCTTAAAATTTTACAAACTAATTTATGAAATAATTGTACATTCAGTAAACAGGTTCATTTTCCAGGTAATCCGAGCCCTCGAAATTCTCTCCGGATTGTGCAATAACGAGCGTAATGAATCTCTTATCTGTGAATTTCTCGATTATCGTATTTTATCTAAAATATTTACCGTAATTTCTGTCAAAGATATCATGATGTGTGTTTATACTTTGGAATCTCTATACCAGGTATATTGTGTTACATCATAAGGCGTGTGCGGTGATATTATTTGGCCATTATTTTTTGGTTTATTTGAAAAAAAAAGATCAAATAACGAATTCAGGAATTGGCGTTACTTAGCAGTCCTTTAGGATATGTGTAAATACATTTTTTGATCTTTTGTTATATATTTGGTAATTTTTACAGATCTCCGAACTGGGAGCAACCGCTTGTTACCAGTTATCTCGTTTCCCTCATGCAATTGATACATTGGTGTCTTTAGTAACAGTTGAAGCAGTATCTTTTGGTCCATCCGGATTAATCGGAATGAAAGTGGTTGAGTTTCATGGCCCTTCACAGCTTGCTCCTCCACCTCCTCAAAATATACCAATACCTCAAAATCAGGTATAGTTTTTAGAAAACATTCGTCATGCCTCAGTAGACTTTTTTTCTCGAAAGCGAAAATTTCAAGGTAGATTTTTTAGGCAACCAGACCAGGTTCTTTTGTAACACCCACGCATTCCACGAGTTATTCGTCCAAAATGGTAACTCCACGCGGTTCTTCCAACACTTCAACACCAGTAATTGGAGATTCTAAGGTTTCCAGATTTTTTTGGAAATTTTCCAAGTTTCCCATCTTTGTGAGGGATAGCCGTGGATACATTCCTCGCAGTTTCTTTGTTTTCTTTGAAAATGCATTAATTTTCTAATTAAATACAGCTTGACTGATTTTCGAATGATTTTTGTAGGTTGAGCAGTTGACTGCAAAGTGGATTCGAATGAACTGTATCTTTGAGATGGGCAGTATAGTGCCTCGGGGCGAATTATATGCAAGCTATGTTGATGACCTTCGGCATCGTTACGGTGCCCTTTCCGGCTCCGTTCAAACTTTTACAAATATCATGAGGTTTATTTTGCAGTGTTTCTCTTAAATTCATCGGGAATATCTTCTGGAAATCGTGAGAAGAATTAAACAAATGCAAGGATTGTTGCTTGTCAGAAATATATTCAAATTAGGTTTCTGCGCTATGCTACGTACAATTAGAATTTTTAAATTCAGAGCGGTGTATCCAAGTGTCATACTTCGGATTCAGTCCTCGTCTGGCAGCAATGTGCCAGTTTTTGAAAATATAAGGATGTGTCGATTGAATCCAAATATGAGTAGCCATGAAACTGGTAAGTTCGATCTTCGATCTTCCTAAGTGCTAGTAGATTTGCTTTGGAAAACAATTATGGGTACTGCAAGTTAAGAATTCAGTAATAACAAGGTTTCTTCAGATTAAGTTGCAATTTATTTTATAAACCATGCAATGCTTGCAGCCTCTACAAACACCGATTCTCATACATCTTTGGTGGCGAATCATCCGCTCGTACAGAAAATGTTAACAGATAACGTGAATGCACCACCAATTTTAAATGGCCATACTACTGTTACCGTAGTTGCTACTACTCCAGCTATTGACAAGAAGTATTCATGCTAAACGTTTGAAACTTTAAAAATTTTGGTTTTTTTGAAAATTTGAAAAATTCTGAACGTACTCCCAGAAATAAGATCACACTTTTTAACTCTGGTAAACCTCTGTTTCTGTTTTGGTCTTTGTGATATGGGGAAGGATTTCGATTCTCTAAACTGACTGACACTTTTTGTTTTGCAGGTTAGCGAATGAAATATCTAACAATACAACAGTTTTGCCAGCGTCATTTCTCTCAGAAGATACGACACGTCTCACTTCCTCCCATGTAGCGAATGTACAACCCTCAACCAGTTTATCAGTCGGGCAACAGGTAGTTATAAGAGTGCACAACAAAAAATACTGTTTTAATTTCTTTGTAGAACTGTATGAAGGAAATTATTGATTGTACATTTGTTGGAGGCAAATTATATCCTGATTTTCCGAACTTACGGAATTATGATCAAATTTTATGGAAATGGGAAAGGAGAAATATTTTTCCTATGACTTTCTAAAATACCAATGTTATTTGAGGTTTGTCGAGGGGCAATTGAGGCGTATGAGTTCATATCGGAGCAGCGACATGAGACAAAGATTTTGCGTATAGAAAATGCTTCGCGAACAATCGTAAACGCTGTGGATGAAAAACTTGTTCCGCAAGTGAATTATTTATATTTACAAGAATTGCTCTTATCCAGTTGTAGGTTTTAGTTTTGATTAGTGCTAAAAATCTAAAATTAAATGTCCCGTTTTATTTTCGATACTTCAATATTATGAATCAGATTCATATCTTTAAACAAGTAGTGATCCTCACAAAATGGAAATAGATTTGGTCTTAAAAAAAGTTCTCTCATTAACGTAAAGTTGCAGGTACATAATCAAATACAATCCAAAAGTACTATTGCAAGGCGTATGAATGGAGTATGTGATAGTCGAGTTATAAACAGTGAAAGTATGGCAAATGGCTTTGATAGTGAACTTCCGCAGTCTTCCGGAAGTACGGTCAGTCAAGCATTAAATGGAAATCTAGCTTTCTCGGGCTCGAAAGAGGCAGGATTTCTTAATTTTATAAATTATATAGCGAAGTGCGCGAATTTCATTTTTATGTTGAAAAATTGAAAACTATCGTTTATGTTGGGAGGAAAGTTAAGTAGTAAAGGGCCCTTCATTTTTATACGGAATACTAGGTGCGTAACTCCGATGTACAATACTCGCCAAAGTTTGCAGAGTCAAAGACTGTTGCTTACATGTTTACATTTTGAATCCTTTTTCTGAACCTTAACGCCCTTATTTTCCACCAATTTATAGCGTTTACCGTGGATCTGTGTTGGCTGTATTAATCTTTAGTCATATATAAAATACAACACCTTAGAACTTAAATTTAGGTGAAACCGGTAGTAAATGTTGCAAAAACGAGTGCTGATACTCAGATGATACATCCTTCGACATCTGCAATGGGGAACTATCGTGATGATGATTGTGATTCACTGAAATCTTGTGCATCTACACCCTGTTCTCCAATCTCTGTGAAGCGACGTCGCGTATCAGCATGTTCGAACACCAGGCCAACCACATCTTCAGCCGACAGTGACGATTACTTGTGTGAATGGAATGGATGCGGAAAGTAATTAAAGCAGTTCTTTTGTTGTGCTAGTACTTTTATTGTGCTAGTTTCTTAGCTAAAACTTTGTAACTTCGAACTGTTTTTGAAAATTGTATGCACACAAAATTTACTTCATGTTACCAGGGAAGGATCTGCATTTTTCCATCTTTTTCTAATTTCCGTAGAGTTTAATTTTTTAGGCATTTTTCATCTGCATCTTTCGTTCTTTATCACTGCACTAAGGAGCATATTAGCAATGATCACAGCATACAATGTCATTGGCCACGATGTGATTCAACAGTGCGTGCCAAATGGTCCATGGTGACGCATTTACAAGATCACCATTGTAATGAAGTTGCTCTAAAAGCTGCAGCCAAAAGACGGAAAGAAGGTTCATATCTGCGAAGATTTATAAATAATTAAAGTAACAATGTAAACAATTAAAGTTTGCAAACAAGTAGTTGCCAAGTAATTAATTAAAATAATAATCAAACTTATAAATAATTAAAGTAACGATAATCATTCAAGTAATTTTTTTTACCATCATACAGTTTTTTAAATAAATGATCAAGTAATTAACAAGATGAGAGCAAGCTCAAGAACATTCTATACTGTTCCTTGAAATTATCCCTGTTCATGTTACTCACTTTTTCACTTTTCATTTTTCATTTCGTTTTTTCTTATTTGCAGGCCACGGTTTACCTTTAGGGCCAGTTAATCCGGAAAGGCCACGAGAAATTGTGCAACACCCGGGATATTCAAAGAATGCAGCTGTTGAAGCAATCCGGCGGCATGCCTTCAATTATCTTCCCCGTGATATCACGGTGTGTTTCTTTTATTTCTTCGAATTGTAATAATTTGTGCGGCGGTGTTTTCCATATGCTTAATTAGTTTTTCCTGGTTTTAACGGTGAGTTGAATATAGGATTAAAATCTCTGCAAAAGAGAAAATGTGAATATGTTGAAAACTTATAGGATGATCCCGAAGGACCCGTGACGAAAAGTATCCGTTTGACCAGCTGTCTCATTCTCAGAAATTTGGCGCGTTATTCAACCGATGGAAGACGGTAAACTTTTTCTTTTCGTGATAATCACACACGCCTTAATCAGACTTCTCTTGAACTTTGTAGAACCAGCAACAGTGTTTTATTTCCATTTCGTTTTTTGCTCTTGTTTATAGCATGAATACATGGTTGTATTCAGATCAGTTTTATCTTTTTCAGTCATCTTTATTGTCGAGTTGAATGGAATGGTTATGTAATTAATTGCTTCGAAATTTTCAGACTTCTTCGCCGACACGAGCGTTTACTTAGCTGGTTATCGTTATCGCGTGTGGAAAGTAGCTCAGCATTAGCACAACTTCTTGCTGAATTATATTCTCAGCCGTCCTCCTCCCCTTCCTATTCATCCTCATCCTCATCACCTCATCGTACTTATCATGTGCCAACTGCATCAAATGCTGCAACAGTTGCAAAAGCCTTATGACCAGTGGAATATGTTTATATATCGCAAGGGATATATTGTTTTGCAGAACCAATTATTTTAGTATGACATAGTCTAATTTGTTTGTTTCAAACACGGTTTTATTTTCATCAAGAGAGTGGTTACCACACTTCTCTTTGTTAATTATCCTTTTCAGCTGAAATCCCTTCATTCAGTAGATCACCTATTACTTGTTGTTGCATCTAAGTAGGCCCAAATCCTGGGGCTTGAAGCACAATTTTAATTTAAAATCTTGAAAATTTGTTACCAAATATAGGATCGCCTGCATGCCGAAGACTTTTCTTATCCGTTCATTTGCATATTAATTTTGTGCTATGATCCATATGTTTTTAAGAAAACAGTCGATACGTTTGTGTATAAATGCTTTGTTTTACGGACCATTTATAATGTTTTGTAAACTTATGTTCTTCGGATTACATTTGTTCATATGTGTCGTATTACTTCTTTTGTGAATTTACCTTATATTATGTGACATAAAATTATGTCGTTGACAATCTGAATCGAATATCGTTTTAGTAAATAAATTGTTCTGACGGTTCAGATACTGGAAGTGTTGTCGAATCACATGTATTTCTCTTAGCTTAGATCAAGTCAACAGAAGGAAGTAAATGGTTGCATGGGAACGATCATTCATATAGTTAGTGATTGGAGGAGGTCTTCATGACAGCTGAGCTTGACCCATGTGTTATTACACACGCTGTAGTGGTGCTTTTTTTCTTTTTTTTGTACAAGTTTGTAGATATTGGACTTCTGAAGTAGGTAGTAAAGTTAAGTCAGGTTTTCAAGTCTTCATAAATGTTGGTAAAGTACTGGTATATAAATAGGGTATCTAAGGATGTAATGAAGAGAGATCGGAAGAAATGACGTCGAAACGGGAGGTATGCTATTATTTCCATCACGATGTACCAAATTTTCATTATGGCTCGAGGCATCCAATGAAACCACAGCGCTTAGCTGCTTTACACAGTCTAGTTGTCAATTATGGATTGCACAAAGAAATGCTTGTACTCACACCCCCTCGTGCATCTGCAATCGAGATTGAACGGTTCCATTCGAAGTAAGGTCTTTGCGCGTTCCAGGATTATTTTTGATACATGTAACTTGGTTGTTGTATGCTGAAGATTTGTCTCTGCTTTTCAGCATCTCTTCACTCAAGTTTAAGATATAAACATTGTGACATTATAATCACTCATCTATTTCTTACATCCTAAAATCTTACATGTAAAACATATTTTTTTTGACACGTACCTTGACGCAAAAGCAAATTTGCAGAACAGCGAACAGCTCAGAATCATGTGCAGTTGATACTTTTCCTCCATTTCTTTTGATAAATCAACCTGAACTGATTTCTCTCACTAGCAGCGCCATAACCATTCTGTATGAACATTTGTAATTATATAGTGGCAACAACCATTCTTTCACCAATTCTGACATAGATCTGCATCGTGGTCTAATAGTTATTCAGAACTGTTAAGAAATATGAGGCTGTTCTGTCTTTGCCTTTCGATTATATGTAGAGTCATATAAACAAGGTTGGACACGAACGTAAGAGTTTATCAAAAATTCACTTTAGTGATTATAATGACTTGTAGAAAAATTTGCTTGCAATGTTGAAATTCTATATTTGCAGAGATTATGTGGATTTTCTTCAGCGAGTGTCACCCCGCACAGCTGACCAGTATGAAAATCTTTTCTCACAATACAATATTGGTGAAGATTGTCCCATTTTCGATGGGATTTTCGAATTTTGTTCCATTTACACGGGCGCTACACTTAGCGGTATGGTTTAGATTTATGTTTATATTGTGATGGGCCTTCGCTTAATTTTTTTTTCCTCATAATTAAATGGGAGATCAAATTATTCAGAAAAGTTTGAAATATTTCCTTTGTGTGTAATAAAGAGTAACATTTTGCAGGTGTTGCTCGCCTAAATCATGGTCTAAGTGATATTGCCATTAATTGGAGTGGTGGTTTACATCATGCCAAAAAACGTGAAGCTTCAGGATTTTGTTACGTGAATGACATTGTTATTGGGATCTTAGAATTGCTGAAATACCATCCTCGAGTACTTTATATTGATATAGATATACATCATGGCGATGGAGTTCAAGTAATCTTTGTTAACAAGCCAGTTAAGGTTTTTTTAAGCGAAATTTAGTTATTGCTATCAGGAACATGATTAATACTGTTCTTTGGTTTAATTTTTTTATTTTCTAATTCTTAGGCACAACATTTCCAGGAAGCGTTCTATTTGACCGATCGAGTGATGACCGTTTCGTTTCATAAGTACGGCAATTATTTTTTCCCAGGAACTGGGGATATGTATGATGTTGGGCAGGATAGTGGTCGTTATTACGCTGTGAACGTCCCCATGAAAGAGGGGATGGATGATGAAAGTATGTATATTCTTTCATTTATCCTAGCGCCGATACAGTCTTTATGGATTTATAGGAACTATCGATTGGACTAAAACTTTCCGTTATATTTATTTTTATGAACTTTTGTTATGAAAATAATATATGTAAGCTCATATCCATTTTCAATTCAGAAATCCTATAAATGATTAAAATCCTATAAATGATTAAACTAAATTTTTAGTTTTGGAATTAAATTCACTTCAGATTATCATTCCTTGTTTAAACCAGTCGTGGGGGCTGTTATTGATTGTTTCAATCCATCAGTTATTGTCCTGCAATGCGGAGCTGATTCACTAGGATGCGATCGCCTGGGGTGTTTTAATTTGAGCTTTTCGGGCCATGGGTTCGTTATTTCTGCTTCTTCAATAGATTAACTTAACTGTTGTACGCTTTCTATTGCTGTAAATAGTTATGAAAGCTGCGATGATTATTTGTCTGTATACCGACTAAACGGTAAATCCTGATACAGTATTTTCAGTTTTCGGTTTTTATCGGAACGATTTACAGTATGCATTTCTTTAGTATCGAAATATCATTTTAGAGAATGTGTAGATTTTGTTCGCAGTTTGGGAATTCCAATGCTTGCAGTGGGTGGTGGAGGATATACATTACGTAACGTCGCACGGTGTTGGACGTATGAAACTGCAATTCTCGTTGGCAAAAAAGACGAAATACCAGACGAAATCCCGAATAATACTGGTGATACTTTCATCTGCTCTCGAGATTCTAGTTACTTTGAGGGAATTCACAGTGTTTAAAATATTTCTTTTCAGAATATCTACAGTTCTTTGCCCCCGAATTTACGTTAAGACCGACACTGGCAAAAAGGCAGGAGAATCAAAATACCAAAGAAGTCCGTCCAATTATTTTTTTTGAGATAGTATGGAAATGTGTACATTTGTGTTTATTTCGATCTTTGCCTAAACTCATCTTTTCATAACATTTAAATTCATATTACACTTTAAGCACTTCCATGCGTCATTTGTACAAAAGGTCAGCGCGGTATTTTCATGATTTTTAGTATATCACTGCTCTCAAGCAAGAAGTGTTGGATCATTTGAGGCAAATTCGTCATGCACCTTCGGTACAGATGCAAGAAGTCCCACCCGATCTTTTAGATCCTGATGAAGTACTTTTTCATTTTGAATTTCCTACAAAAATGTAAATCTGAAGGACTGTTGATGTTAATGTATACATGTATAAACCTTTCAACTTGAGTCTGCTTTTTCAGGTATTCTCATTGCAAGAATCTCCTCCAGATGTTCTTCCAACTGATAATAATCCAGATGGCGGTACATTTTTCGGTATCAATTCTGAAATTGATCGCTCATCATGACTTTCTCTAGTGCCTATCGATATGATTCGGAGCTGCTCCATCCTGGACCGCTTTTAGAGCCTGTCTGTTTGATACGTTGGATGACTAACTCTAAATATATGGAAGAAAGGAGATGTACCATTTTTCGTTAAAAAATTTCTGCCTACTTTATGCAGCTGTTTGGTTTTATGCATCGCTTATATTGATCTGCATTGGTTCATGTTTCATCACTGAATTTCAAAATAAATCTGGCATCTCAAAGCATGCTGTACTCTATTAACAAACTTAAGCTAAAGACTTCATATTTGTTGAAAACGTATTTTGTTTCAGATAAAGTCGTTCATGACTCACAAAGAATGAAGAGCATCGTGGAAATATAATGCTTTCCCTACATGGTTAAATAAATGAATACAACTATGACGGATTCTTAACAGTTGCCATTTGCAGATAAAGTCGATTTGAGCAGATGAAAAATGTGAGTAGAATAACACGTAAGCATTATTTAAAAAACTATCAAGGTACTCCAAATTTCCAGAGGATGAAGAATGTTCATATCAAGAGGAGAGGTCTGAATGAACAGAGTAGTTGTGGGGAAGGACAAGTCGGACAAGTTCCTCAAATGAAGAATTTGTAACAAGAAAAAACAGTGCTTTAGAGACAATGACTTATTTGGTATTTAATTGGCACCCAAATGATTCAACTGTTCATTTCCTTCAACTCTTTAGTAACAGTAAAAACAAAATAAAGTATATACCGGAAATTGATTCCATTTTACAGTGTCGTACAGTCTCAAAATGTCACAATTGTGCACGATTACTACACTGTGATGCTACACTTGGAGAAAATGTTAAAATAAGGAATATTTGTAAACACAAAAGTTACACAAGGCAATTATATCGTAGGTGGCGAAGGTGATGAAGTTTTAATGTACCTGTTGCAGAAAGACGAGTTTCAGGGAAATATTACCGCCGACGATCTGAGTAAGTTTCAGTATGCGTCAACAACTTACCAAAATATTGTTAAATGATGGGAAGTTGTCGCAAATATTTTTCATCGAAACACGACTGTTTTCAACGCATCTTCGGGATGGATCTGCAAATCAGTTGTAAAATATGGCAATAAAATTTCTCTAAACAAGAGAAAACTACCATAAACTTCCTGTTGTATGCAAAAATATCCTTAATAAGAAAGTTGACCGGGAATTATTTAACACGTTTACTGACATTTTGTGGTAGCTCTGCTATAGTGTTTGAATAGCTGTCATCGATATTGAAGAGGCACTTAGTACCCCAAAACATATTCCTACAGTAAGTCGTGATTACAATACTTTTTGGGATATTAAACATCTTCGAACTTTTTTTTTTTAAAGATACGACGCATACTGTGACGTACAAGAATGAATAACGGAAATTCAAGGTTTAATTACGGTTTATGGTACTAATTGGTTAAATTGATGTGTGGTGTTCATATAATGTAAACGGTTTGATATCCAGCAAGCATGCAAAATGCTTCAGTAACAAAAAGTTATAAAAAGTAGAACCTCAAGGACTACTTCAGCACCATCGTTAAATTTATAGGCAACTCTGCCGTCAATAACCAAATGAGCATCATAACAACGTGAATGCAATCGCAAACGCTTCACTAATCCACGAGGCGGGAACTCTGGATATGTTGCATTATATATTGGATTGCAAACGCAGTAAGCCATATCTACAAAAGGCACTGAAATAAATATCATGTAAAATGAAGTTGAAGCAAATTTTTATCGAAGACCAACAAGAAATGGACATTGATGAAGAAAAAATAACTTTCAGAATCCGGAGTGAGCAGTAGGCGACTATTATAAATGTCACGAATCCTTCGAATAAGTGATTTATCCTCTCCCAATGTTATATTACCGATCTCCTTCGAAGCAATACCCAGAATATTAGATATACAGTGATCAGTCATTTTATTTATATTGAAATACCAGGAAGTCGAACCAGATCCTGAACTATTTGGTCATTTTTTTTTTCCAATATGAATTTCGACGAAAATAGCACCACTACAATATGCATAGCCTAAATAAACCTGCATAGCTCTTAGTGATACTATTAAAAGGCACATGAAAGAGCACAGAAATTAAAAACTACGTGCATTGTTTTTGCATATGCTCCTCAACAGTCGCTATTCTCTACTCCATTTACCCGAATGTAATAAATGACTGTTCAAAAACGAAAAGATACCCTACATCACCTCATGCTTGGAGTTTGCTTGGGAATTTAGAACTAGCACCCTGGATAACTGGGAAAGACTCCGGAGATACCGGATCTGTAAAAATCGAACCTGTACATATTACAACACCGCTGCTTTTCTGTTTCACCATTTCACCATAATCACATTGAATTTCATAATAAGAGACACGTGATGACAAGCTCTCTCCGATAAAAACATCGTTTAAGGCCAGATCCGATAATACATTCACATTTCCTTCAGTAGGGTTTTCCGTTTTTCTCCTTGATTTCAACATTTCCCTGAGATTTGGATTAATAAAAAACACCAATGACGTAATATTAATTAGAAGCTAAAAGCTGGTCTTGAATCCCCAGGGTATTGAGATCGTGATGTATGGACATGGATAAATAATGTTTTATGGATAAAATTCTCGATGGAAAATCAAAAATGAACCAAAACCCGTAGTAGATAAATCGTACTGCATTTTTGAGTAATGAAAAGGAAGCTGTTCTTCATGCAAATAAAATGGTTCAATATCTCCAACATCCCCTTCCAAGCGTATGCGTATACGTTGTCGATATAACCACCTGAAATTAACATTTTCATGGAATAAAATTGATATTTAGGATTTCTGATTACAGAAAAATTATAGCTTGACTTAAATTACAACCTAATTTATATCAGTTACCTTTCAATTATGATTTTTTCTAAATGCTGATCACTAATCGAAGATATAAGAACATGTTTTTTCTATTGTTCTAAGAATCCTTCATCAAATGACAACCAAGATCATAGAACGTGTGAAGTATTTTAAATGGAATAATGTTCTCACAAGCGTTATTTTTGAAATATAAATAAAAAATTAATTGTTAACATCTGGCAACCAACAGCCAATACCCTATATTAATTATTTGATTAAACAAGGTTTAATAATGTTGGTTTCAAAAATAATACTTCTTTAGTACCTGAAATCACCGGCAAGTAATCGTTTTAAGGCATCTTTGAAATATTCGTGCGACAGTTTCTTCAGCAAACAAAGATAGCCCTCTGAGCTAAAACTAGAATCATTGTTTTGAACACAGAAATATAAAAGAAGCTAAAGTGAAACATTAACAAGTACCACATAAACGAATGATACATTTTAATTTTGTATGCTAGCTAACAAAATACGAGGCTACCTTAAGCTCACTATTTTAATTTCGATCTAAACTTTTCAACGATTCATACCCATCCATTTGCACTTTAGATCGTTGAACGCTGTAAGACTTTATTTCAAATTTCAACTTGCGTAAGTTTCATAACTGCAAAGAGGAAAAATGAAGCACACCCAAATTAACCGGTACAAGTCTCAACAATATCCAAAAATTATAAAATTTTAACCCCTTAGGATCAGTATTTATTCCTATCACAGGTTTTTCAGTTGATAAAATTTTTGAAGCTGCGTGCAGAAACGTGCCATCACCACCCGCAGAAAATACAGCATCGGCCCACGAAACTGCAGCATTATTGTAATCGAACTTCTGCACAGTTCGAGTTTCGATACCACAAGCTCTAAGATTAAATACTGAATTAGTGATGAGCAAAATAGTCAGATAAAAAATCCACATTTTTGCGAAGTTTCTCTAAAAATTGCATAAAAGCTATCTGAATATTAAACTCCAGCTGAAAAGCAATCTACAGACCTTAGTTCATCTATCACGACATTTAAAAACTGATAGTGTTCATCATACCGCCTTCGAAGCCTTTCATAGTTAGATCCTCGCCGTACCAGCTTAAAAAAAAAAAAATGTGATTTTTGGAGATAAAACTCCCTTCAGCTAATAAGCAGAAAATAGTTGCACTAGGCAAAGAAAAACATGGATGCATAAACTAATTTTACCGCTTTTTTCAGCTGAGTTTCGTCAAGAAATGGATGAGTTTGCCTTTCATATTCCAACCGTGTTAATTTAGACAGAATCAGAATCTTTTTAGGTTTGAAAGTACACTTCTGAAACATTAAAAATTAGTTTCACAAATTGCAATGCCAATAAATACAACAGATGAAAGTAAGCAAATGAATTACTTCATGTAATGCAAATGACCAAAAAATATCACCAGTAGGGTTAATGGAAGAGATTTGGAAGCAGAAATGATAAAGAAGCTTTCTAATTGAACAGTTCAAAAGACTGCATAGAAACTAGTCATATTTATTCATGCTTCTCCAATTCTATCAGCGTTCTTATTAATGAAAAATAAGGAACCTCGGCTGTGTTGGAATTATCGCTAGTCTGAATTTTCGTTCCTGTAGTATTATATGACGATTGATATATTGCAACAGGGCTATCCATATTGGTGGCGAAGAGCTGTATTGCAGTGACACGCGCCAGCAGTGCACTACTGGTTACCGAAAATTTCTGCATAATGCGTTTCATTTGTTTTCAAAATAATTTTAAAAACAGCGACTGTAATAGCGATGTGTGATGGCATAAGTGCAGTGAAAGTGCATGTTGTACTGACGTTGCTGCTGCAACTAATTCTCCTTTAGTAATGATTATGGAAGGTAGTTGTATGACAAACATCAAACTCTCCATAGAGCGTCATTCAGTGACATGAAATCAGGAGAAATGAAATATGCCACAATTATAGTCATGTGAACCAATGTTTCATCCCTAATCAGTTGTGGACGTAGATGACGAAGGGACTACGTTGACCACTTTCATTTCCATACTAGCTTACTTCAAGTGAAAGTGTGTTATTTAGAGAACAATTATATCTAAAGTTCATTCATCCTCTCATGCAATTACGGGAAGATGAAAGTGCAGATGAAAAAAGAGTGCAAATGAATATTAAAAATAGAAGAAAAGTTAACGAAGAGATCCACAAATGGATCGATATACATGGGTCATCACTATAATGATTGTGCTATGCAAACGAAGATTTGGGAAGGGTTCTACCCATGCTTGCTTCAAGCACTACAAATGTAGTGTATCTTCCAGCTTCGCAATGGATTTTTTAAGTGAAGAACCGCATGCGCGGAATTAATTCACGCTTTACTTCTAAGTTTCATCTATCAGAGCCTAGCGAACTTGGACGGTGACAACGAAGCCCTCAAGACGTAGGCTTAGTTAGAGTAGTCTTCTCTTAGATGTATGGTCTTACAAGGCTAGACAAGCTTTATTTGTTTGGGTTTAAAGTTAGAGCTAATTTTTTTTCTAGGATTGTTGCGGGAGGCTAGGGAACCAATCTGCTCTGGACACACTTTGTCTGACCCTTCAATTGAGACCTATTGGTAGGGACCCTACTGGAAGCATAAGCCATCACCTGCATAGATCGCAATCTCACAAGGGCATACAAGCTTCTTCCCGCGACAAGAGGTGTCCGTGGAGCAGTACACATGGGTCTGTAGTGGAGTGGAATGTTGATGTAAGCGTGGTACAGATATGTGTTGTCCGCTTGGCCAGGGTGAATTGGATTGGGTTTATGTCCTGACAGCAATCATTTCCGGATATCCCATAGTATATCTCACCGAGTGACGGGAAGAATGGGAAGGAACAACGCATCTGCAAGCTGGACCACTCTCATTTCAATCCTCAGTTTGCCAACGTCGGCTCGATAACTCGTAAATGGTGAACGATTGAAGTTATGCTGCCTGATCTCTTTTCCCTTCCCCGCCTTCTCTTCCCTCTCTATTCGTTTCATTTCTCCAGTCCCTCTCCTCCCTTCTCCATTCCCTCTGCCAATTTCTCCATAGCATTGACCGAACTGCAGATGCTAAATGTAAGCGACCTAACATATTGTGACCTGCAAGTTTTCTTTTCACTGCAAGCAGCAATCATGCAACCACTGCAGCTCCGGATTATCACAAATTCCAAAAAATAATAGGAAATTTCATTTATACAAAACCATATAAGGTATACATTCTTATGGCACTGTAACATTTATTAAAAAAGTAAGGTGGAGAATGGCTGCACCGCAGATAAGTACCAATTCGACATGCCAGTCGGCGCTTTTATTAAAACGACAACTTCAAGGTTGCAGTTAATGAAATGACAGGTTTAGAGAGAGGGAGAAAGAGTTCAAATTTTGAACTTAATCGAAACTTTTATAATTATAAGATTATTTCCAATGTGTGTAGATTCAGTTTTAATATATGTGCTTTTTAACTTTAACAAAAGACCTCCTACGTACTTCTTTTATTTGTCGGTTTTTCCGCAATAACTGTAAAATTGTTCTGCGAAATGAACTTTGATAAAACGATAACCTTTGTCTTTTCCTAATTCATTCTTGCTTTTACTCAGCATGATAATTCAATACATGTTCTAATTTGCACCATTGTTAGTAATGGGAATAAAGATTTAAGAAATAAAATTAGAAATTCTTTTCTGTAGATTTAAAACGATCACCAGTAGAAGGATTCTCAGCTGGTCTTCGTGGCGATGTTGAAGATATTTACAAATGGGAAGTGGTTGTACTTGGACCACCAGATACTCCGTAGTAAATTATCTTTAACTTTTTGTAGAAAAAAAAAATGCTTTGTCCTTCTCTTTTTCCCAACTTTCCCTTAGCAATACCATCCATTCTTTCCCCAAAAAATATCCGATAACACATCCTGATGAACTCAGTGTATTGTTATTATGCATAACAGATGATCAGAATCATTTATGATTTTTCAAAAAACATTCACGAATACCTTCAGTGAAGGTGGGGTATTTCGTGCTACACTCGATTTTCCTGCCGATTACCCGCAGCGGCCGCCAAAAATGCGATTCATATCAAAAATCTGGCATCCAAACAGTATGCTTCTGTTTGATGTGCTATCCAAAAGTTGGGTTTTGAATAAGATTTGGACATTAAACTATTATTATGCATGCATTATTTAGCTTATTTTATAGAGTTTTAGTAGACATCGATGGCAATGTTTGTATATCAATCCTTCATGAACCGGGCGATGATCGTTACGGCTATGAGAAACCGGAGGAGCGCTGGTTACCAGTTCATACAGTTGAAACCATTTTGCTGTCTGTCATATCCATGCTTGCTGATCCTAATTACGAGTCACCTGCTAATGTTGATGCTGCCGTATGTTAATGTTTTATAACACGGGAAGTGCACTTGATAAAATAACATTATGGATTCGACCGTCTACTCCATTTTGAGCAATTTTTCGATTTCCAGCTTCTTGGCTTTTCTCCCATTGCTTCCTTTTCAAGATCTTAGCCTACAAATAGAATTCTTCTACTTCGTTGATAACGATAACGAGTGATAAATGATGAAACACTTTGCAAGCGGATTTTCCAGAATATTCCAGAAAATGCTTCGTGAAAATTATCCAGCATTTAAAAAGAAGGTTGCTGAATGCGTACGCAGAACTCAAGAAGAAACTTAATAACAAACATCAACACTTACACACGCACCAATTAATGACATTCACCGTGCGATTAATATTGGATATAAACTTGTGCATTAATTTTATAAGTTTGTAAAACAAATTAGTGAAATCATGTGATTTCAGAACAAACAAGGCACAAAACGCCTTGTTTCCTCCGTAAATACATTGAAATCAGTTCAGTCCAAGCAGCAATTTCCTTTAATCTCAATTTAAA